TACAGAGCAGGGGTAGAAAAAAACAACTTGTGCGACATCAGGCGATGGTGATTGGAGAGAGCGCGGGCGCATTACTGATTATCAAATGCTGGTTGTGGAAATTTTTTAAGTTGGTTTCAAGTCGATCACCAATTGCTGCCATCACCACTTGGCAATGCAGGTCCATAAGATAGGTGCTCTATACTAATCTTTAGGTAGTCCAGAGATTTTATGCTTGTTTTGGCAGGTGCCGATTCGTTAGGATAATTAGTGTTGTTTGTTTCTGGTGGAGTTTTTAAGTATAGACTTCACATCAGTGAGCGCATGATATAGTTTGAAGGCTTATTTAGAGACCCTTAATTAGTCTAAGGCCACAGAATGCTGTTACTTGATCGAAAAAGACCAAATAAAAATAGATAGGGGGACCCAAATGAAGCAGAACCCCTTTTATTATTAAGCGTTGCAAATAACTAAAGCAAAATTGTAGAACTTAATCTTCGCGGACGTTTAAAGTGGACAAAGTTTTATTCCAAGCAATAGGTACTGGCCTGGTTTCATCTGCGTACATCCACATTCATGTATTTTTTTCGTTGAGGTTGCTTTTTTCTCGCTAGCCCTTTGCCTGCCCCATCTATCAACTGTACTGACATGAATTCTCGCAACACGCGCCATTCATACCGTTTTTGTTAGAGATGGTACATTCTAGTCAATAGAGAAGTACGTGTGCCCGTAGACAATGTCAACTCAGGATGTCATGCTTTCCAAGTGTTCGCAGGAATTGCTTTGTACAAAAACCACTTTTATTTCAGACTTGATTCATTTTTGAGCCACCCGCCTTCCCCATTACAGTTTCACTGCATGACATTTAAATATATCTCTTCTGTTCTTTTTGTTGCAGAAACACCTATGTCCCAATTCTGCCTAAAGGTCTCATCGATTACTTGAGTGCTCCAACTCCTTTTCTTTATGGTATTCACGCATCCTACTGTCATCTCCTTCCTGATATTGTAAGTAATTCAAGTGTTCTAAACATCCCGTGTAAATCATTTGTTTATTAAATTCGTTATTTTAGAAATAGCCGACTTTGGGCTATTTGTCTGCTTAGGATTGTGAAGTGACGCAGTCACTGACCAGACATAATCTTCTGTCTATTGCGTGTTCTCTTCGTCGATTCTTTTTGCTTTTTTATACTTTCTCACAAACTTTTCAACTCATGTTTTTCACTCGAAACGCTACCTTTTGCATCACTTTCAGTTCTACATTCCTCACTTCGAATGTTACAGCTTCGCCCAGTCGATCAGTCAACAAGCACTTCCCCGTCTGGTGTTTTCATGTTTGGCTTCTTTAAGTCACTCACTTAACGCGTTTGCCTGTAGATGTCCCCAATTCTCCTGATGTTTTGGTGCAGTGGATTAGTTTGCAGTCTAGAAAAAATCAGGATATTTGATGGTCATCCTAAAGCCTTTTTCACCACTTTAAGATGTGCCATGACTTTGATAAACTGTGAAGTGTTGCATTAGTAAGATATCTTCGCCACGAACTTTCATCTTCAAAGGCTGTATAAGCCCACTCCTTTAGCCTGACCGATATCAATGATTTTTGCATCCATAATCAGTTTCACTTACTAATGTTCGACCTTGATCCCTGGTCTGGCTTGATTGATCAAGACCTTCTCATTCAGATTAACGGTTTCTCGGGGCCCGTAGGGTCTCTTTTAAAAGAGTTTTGGACTGTTCAAGTGTATTGTGGAGCCATTGCCGAGGTGACCATCTCGCCTCCTCGAACAGCGCAGGTAACGTCGTATACGGTTGTCTCAGTGACAGTGGAACTCTCAGAGGGTTGTTGAAGCTTACTACTGGCCCCGCCAGCGCTGTACGCTTGGTACCACTAAGCTCACACGATGTCCGTAGTAATCCTTGCGGCACCTCTGGGACAGCACAAGTCGAGTTCTCATCTCGCCCTGACTGCCGACACTAGCTTCCAGCAAATATATTACTGCTACTAAAAAGCAACACCTCAGCTCCGTTGCCGGACGTGATACCAAAAGTTCATTTCAGCAAACTGCTTTGAAATGCACAGCATTCAGAAAAGGTAGCTTCAAGCGTATCTGCCCACTTGAATGACGGTTGCTGGCTTTGACGCGCATACATTTTTTCCTTCCTCACTCTATGCAGGAGACCAACTTTTTATTTACTTTTGTAGCCGGATGTCTTCATAGCAGATCTCGATGTGGGGCGGGTGATTTGTCCAGAGAACCTCCCTCTACCCCAGATTCCTCAACCCTTCCTCACCGAAGCCATTCAAAGCCTCTTTCATGTGAGCGTTTGTTTTAGCATGCAGCGGCATTGTGCTCTGTCCCTCCCTTTTTTCGCCTATTGTTTCAGCCACGTCGGCCTTGGCGCCCCCCCAGATTTCCGCAACGAAATTAATGCAACGTCTTTGTGATGCGACAAAAAACTCATTACTTGCATGGTTTTTCCTCGTTTAGATCTTGAGCCCTGATCTGTTGACAGCGGACAACGTGTACCCTCCCCCGTCTGAGTCTGTGCCTCAGTTGACTCCCATTCAGGTAGACAAAAGACTGCGTGCCGTGTTTCTGCGCTTGTTCGCATCCGTCTTTGCCGGTTACCGATCCTGTCTCACCATCACTCGCATCCACCCCCAACCCGTCATCCACTTCAACCAGGTACGTCCAGATTTCTGCTCGTACGAATCATTCTCTTCTATCGCTTGATGCTGGTTTAAAGATTCTGATCTATGTTCTGCGGACGTCTTCCAACCATTACGGTTGTCCAGTGTTTCACGACGCCACTCTAATGCTCTTTCAAATCATTTGCATCAATTATATACATTGCGGCTAATATTGCTAGTACCTTGAAAATATTTTGGTCTGCAGGACATTTCATGCATCATTCTAACTGACAAGCACCACTTCAAGCCTCACAACTAATTGTTGCGTTTAATTTACTATTATGTTTACCTATGCTTTTTAATTACTCTTTTGCAATCCTCTTTTAAGCACGAAAGGGCTACATAAAAATGTGTTGACGTGTGTAACGTATTGGCATGCTAAAGTCTAGCTAAAGCCCAAGTCCGCGTCCGCCGTGCATGAGACGTTTTTGCCAGGTTGCAGATTTCAGATTGTGTTTACGTAATTACGTGGACCCATTGTGTCAGACCTTGTACTTGGATCAAAACTCATGCTAAATACCTTAATAGTAGTGTCTTCCTGCGTCAGCATACTTCCCTCCCACTCTCTGGTTGTAGCACAAGGCCGGTTCCAGTTAGCTAAGCAAAATATCCGAGAAAGGATTCGTTACGCTGATGGTAGGTCAGTAAAAAATACCGAAAGTCAAGTGCTAAACTACCTGGATTTCGTCAGTGGTGGCACGAGAAAGAAGGCTTGACATTTCTTTGCGTGCCACCGAAATATCGTATGGATTGCTAAAATGTTGTGCCTGTATACATTGACCTCTCCTCGCATAAAATACAGGGAATGAGCCCACCTACAGGTGTACTATCCCATACAAAAACACTGCGGGGTGAGGCCCTAGATTTTAACTCCGGTGCTATCGCTTGAATTCACACTTTTAACGCTGTCGTCGAGCGATCTCGTGAGTGAGCTTTTGCACTGCCCCTTTTTCCACACCCACCGGCGTCTCTGGCCTATCCACAATCACTTCACAACACGTGTTGTACTAGGTCAAAATCCACACGAGTAGGTCTGTGCGTTTAGAATGTTTGAACTCACCCGAAATCCCCTGTAGTTTCGGCATTGATAGTACCCGTTCTGGTTGTCGCTTACTTTTTGGATACGACAATTAAGAAACTAAGTTCACTGAAGCTATTAACTCCTTTGCGTCTCTGAGATGCATTCAAAGAGTAAGCAAGAAAATAATTTAAATAACAGAAGTAACATAGTACCAAAACATTTTTTTCATCCGACTCTGATTTACACTACGTCACAATACTGAAGTCGAGAAAGTTCTAGAGATTACTGAGCTAATTTTGCCAAATGACCCCACTTAGACACCATATTGTAACGACGAACATCTTGCGCAAAAGCGAATTTCGCTAGATTTTGGCGCTTCAGGGAGCTCAGTATGAATAATTTTCGGAAGAAATTTGAATATAACCCAACTTGTCGCTGTCATCAGATTGTGCTGAATGGCAAATGTTTGGCGGAAGTACACTTGTTTTGCCTCGGGAATATTTAATCCAGTTTAAGAGATTGAACATCACAGAGGTAGAAACGAGTCCTAGAAAAAATGTTACTTTTGGTCTTCGTTTAAACTTTGTCAGAGCTGTCATTAGCTGTTGTCCTGTCTGCTCTAACCTTGCCCAATAGCGTAGATACACTATTTAATTTTCAATACCGTTATTCCATTGCCTCGAGACAGCACCTTCGTTCGTATTTATAAAGACAGTTGTGAATAATCATGGACTATCACTGGACTACTTAGAAATAGCACGCAACATGAACCTTGTTCCTCCATACCCCACCTCGTATCTAATAGTTTTTTGTAGGTACCAGGTCGCAATTTGCGCACGATAGTTGTGAAAGCTAAGTGGTATATCATGATTTAGCAATTTTTTGCCTACAAAGTTACGTATAAGCAACCATTAAGTGTGTTTATGTACACATTTAAAGTTGCGTTGAAGCAATCTAATCCACCTAACATTGAATTCTGTTGAAGAATTCGTAACACTTAAATTTGTAACTTCTTCTGCCAGTACCTCGTGATTGTGGAACAGTGACACTAGCAAGTAGGTTTCGATTGCTTCAATTTTAGTTTCCATAGGTTTTTTGCAAAATATTACCATTTTTGGCAAAATAAGCAAATAACCGATTAGGTGAATTGAGCACTTGGTTTTCCACACTTCTATCGTACTGCATAGCTGCTTTCGCCAGCATCTTATATTGATTCTTACAAAAATTTGGGTTCCTAAAAAGGCCATTTTGTTTGGCATCTAGAGTTGTCGTTGAAGTTATCGTTCGGTTTATTCTGCCGTTTCGCTCGTTAAGTGATCACGTGCATTCACTTGCAGTCGCTATTTCTCGTTTTGCGGGGAGTGCATGAGCCAGACGACTTTTTCGACCGCATTCTTTCAAGCATGCGATTCCACCAGTTTGTTTTGGAGCGTGGTCCACCCTTTCGTGTTTGCGACCTCTTTGACGAGGAGTACGACCTGGCCCGAGCCGAAGCCCAACGGCTCGTGCCTCAATTCATCGCCGAAACCGCCTTCCCCGATATGGACTATGCTGCCTTCATTTCCGACTTCGAAGCGGCACTTGCTCGAATTGCACAAAAGTTTATGGATAATGTAGGTCCATTTCTCGTGTTTTGTTTTTAACATGCAAAAATTGACTATCATGAATCTCCACGTTCAAATAACCAAGTTCAAAAAACTCGTCCCTGACCTGTAGCTTTATGTAGCTTTCTCGTCCGTAACGAGTCAATGCATTTAATGTTTGTTTTCATTCTTTGCTAAGTACTTGGAATAAAATTGCCGTCCCTTTGGAAAATCACTTGTCAGTTTCTATGGTAAATGAGCAATTTGAGTGACATTGGTTGCATTTTAATCGTCCACGCAGATCTAAATGCGCTTCCCTGCCGCTTTTGTTCTTTACGAGAATGCGTCATGCTGAAAGTAAAACCGGGAGATGAATTTCATCCGCAAATCTTGCACCACCCTTCGGGGTCAGTCTGTGTATTTTTACGGCGGTCTTTTTCGTCTAGGAGGACGACGAGGCCCATCCTATCGCCGACATCATTCAGGAGGAGGCCGTGGATGCACACAACCGCCTTCATCATCGTTCATTCCCCCGGCTTAATTCTCAAAAGGTTGACGAATTTGCACAGAAAGCCCAGGAGTTAATTAACCAATCGTGAGTCTTGTTACTGTGCTCCCTTGCTAAATGAAAATGTAGTAACTTTCCTTTTGCCACATGTTTATCCCTAAGATTGTTTACATTTGACAGTCACTCGCGGTTTCGTTCTAAGTTGTGGTAGTTGTAATTCGCGGTATAAAATGGTGCGCCTTACTCTCTGTAGTTGCAAATGTTTTACGTCCAAACCTCTTTTATCACGGTTCTCATCAATTTTCGCTTTATTTCTTGTAATCGGACCAAAACCTGGATGATGAATTGCCATGAAACCTTGGTCAATTTGATCACACTCTGCTGTCTTACTGAACTTTCTGGATAAGAGTTCTTTTATTCGTTTCTCTTCTCATTCTCTTATATAATTTCCACTCAAAATGTGCCAGGATAACACCTTACAGCCAAAGTGCACATAACCAGTGGTCGAGGTGCCCACCCGTGTCAAGCTAAACAAGTCTGTTGATTTGCACCAACTGAATGGTCGTAATCGTGTGTTTTTTGTTCATTCATTTGCGAAGGGCTTATTTAAGTAGCACGTTTGATTTTATTGCTTAGCATACACTAAGTACCCCCGAATTCTCTGTTTACACGTCTGGTTGAATGTTAAAAGCTATGAGAATTGACGTGGTCGTTTATTCACGCCATAGCTGCCTCCGACCTTTGTAGAGATGCTTAACTGTCTTCATGACTTGAGTAAGTTTCATGTTGCCACTTCAGGTGCACATTCCATCGTATTTCGTATCCGCCATTCAGGCATTGGCGGTGACTCCGCCTTCTTCACCTTCGATGCCTATTCATCCTTATATACTGTCCCATGTAGATTAATTTAATCCCCTTATTTTCACCGTTTGAAATCACATTTAGTTTATCACGTTGAACAGCGAATGATTCCTTTCACAAAGACCTGCTTTGGACTTGGTGATTGGTTGGACAACACTTTCCTAGTGTAGGGTTCAACAACGGTAAAACCTGTTTTCTATCATCAACAGACTTCCAATTTAAACTGTATGGTGTCGAAATTTCGGGGTAGATACAATTTCCATAAACGCAAACAAACGTAAGCTTTTGTTTGTTTGTTTATTTCACATTCAGCACTTTTTTTGTTTTTCATTGCCATTATTGCTTGTAGCGTTCAAAGCCCTTTTCCCCTTTTTTGTCCTGCAGGGCGCCGATAACCGCGGAGGTGAAGGAAACGCCTCGATTTGTCCCCAAAGGCGAGCAACTGGATCTTCACGCATTCAAGTCAGAGTTGCCTGCCGACAAATGCCGCGTCATTCGAGAGTTTGTTGCTGACGTATTCGATTTGCATATCACCGAAGCCCTCAAGGTGAGTCATCTGATTGCCTTTGCCTTCCCCCACTGTTTAGGGTTGTACTGTAACTTGTCTCTCCTGCAATTGCTTCTTTTTAATCAACTCTTGTTTTTACTTCCGTTGCCTAATTCATGTGCCCTTATCAATAGCCTATTATTAATGTCACATGCGTTGTAGTGTTGCCTAGCTCAGTTTAAAGGTTTCTAGTAATTTTTACCTTCTATTTTTCATGCAAAACTGTAGCGGGATGACTTTCACAAGTCGCGTTTGCAGACGAGGAAAATCTAAGCTATATTAATCGCCACCCATCAGTGACTTTGTTTGCGGTTATATTTAATATACCAATTTGCTTAACTCAAAAAGGACAGACTTTTCCATGGCACATTATGTGCTAATGTTTCTTTTTCCATAACGCATCCTCTTGTCCTCATAATTTTACAAATCCTCAAACGTATGTTGAGTGGGTATCGTAGGGGTCTGTGGCTTGTCTAGCGTGCCTCGTTGATCGAGGCAATTATTTTTCAAGCTTCCCAATTTGCGTGTTTTTAGTTCTACCTAGGAGGCTTCTGGCCGGATTTTTATATTGATGCTATAGTTTTTAAAGTGCCTTACCATAAACACTTCACCAAAGGTATGTGCACTTTGTTCCCCATGTTTTTTTCAGCGTCGCAACACCATCCGCCAGGATTTAAAATCACAGCCTTTTCGACGTTTATTTGTCGACGAGCTGCACAAGAGAATCATTCCACCATCAGTCACCTCGACTAACCCCAATTCCACTCATCCCGAAAACACGATTGTGGAATTCGAGCGCCGGGCTTCGCTCAGCTGGGAACAATTCGATGTCATTGTGGGACTGCTTGACGAGGCTCTGCGTTACGAGGGCATGTCCTACAACACAGTGATAGCGCCTCCTGTTATGGATCTCGCAACTAGGATAAGCACGGTACGCACAGTGGTAGTCCTTTTACAACCTTTCCGACACGGATTAATACGTACACTGTTTCAGCACCAACCTATGCTAAATGTTATCCGATCACGTAACTTTTCATTTTTAATGAATAGCACTGTCCTGCGTAGTTTTCCAAGTTCAAAACCTTTTAGGAGGCGTAGTACATCAGCATGTCCTTTTGGGACAAATTCTTAGGGGCCTCTGACTTTTCGAAATTATTTCATTCGCGCCTATCTTTGTGCAATTTTGCACCGAACCATTCTGTTCTATTCAAGTAGGCGTGAAACTTGGAATCCGTCGTCTTCTTGTCTGTCAGTGAATCCATTTTCATGGTGTCTTCATTGTCACACGTCGGTGCCCATAAACTTTACTTGGAAAAGCAGGTTCTGCTGTTGTGTTCGCGTATAAACTTGTGCATTGTGATTTGTACATGATTTGGACGGGATCTAATGCGAAGAGGTCTTGCCCATGCTCAAATTACCTTAAACCAGTTGGAGGGGGAATCACCCCCGAGGGACCGGGTTTAGATTAGAATTCTCAATGTCACATTTCTCAGCACGGCAAATAGGGAAATTATTTAATATTCCTGGGGGGTAATTCAAGGTCAGTTATAAGGGCCTGCCGCATGTTAACCCCTCATTGGAGTCTAGCAATACAACATTTCCAGTTCAAAGTCCTTATCTTGACTGCGTGGCATCATGTTGTAGTTGGGTGTTATAAGTGCTTGACGAATAATTTCACCCACCATAATTGCACACGTTGATGTCACAAATTTCTCCGGAAAAACTCTCGCCGACGATTTTGGTCAAGGCTGGCGATGACGCTTCTGTAGGTTAGACTCCTTAAAGTTTGAACTCTATGATTAGTTGTTATTACAGACTTGAACATTGCGAGTCGAACCAACCCGTTTCTACGTGATCGCAACATCTTCCGGTATTTATTACAAATAATCCAACTGTGTAAAGGTAATATTAACGTATTTGATTTAATGCTCAGCAACTCGGTGGAATACGCTACTTTGCCAACATGACACATCACATTCAGCGCCATCGGATATGGTCGGAAATGAGTTTCTGGGAGGACGTCTTCAATGAACAAGTCAATAACCAAATCAAACAGCTTTATTTGCACCAATCGGAGGTGGAACACAGCAGCAGCATTTCGTCCGCTAACCTCCCAGTAAGTTATTTCATTCCGATACACCTAGAAGGTGGTCATTTTAAGTCGTCGTTTTGTTAAACTCAGTATGGATTCTCGTTTTTTCAATGTGTTTCGCGATGATTGCCATGATTCGAGCGATGGCGCACTGCCACATGTTGATTACACATGCCGCTGACTGTTGAGTCAAATACGAAATACACATTTTGGCTTTGCATGCACGTGTTTAGTTGATTTTGGCCGCCGTCATTGCGCTTCTAGAACCATAGTATTAGGTAGTAGACCAGGCTGCCTAAGGATCGGAGTAGATCACTAGGATTTTTTTTCCGTAGATATCGCTTAAAATTCTACCACTCAGTATGTAGCCGTTTTCGATTCATCGATAAAGTGGCAAATTCAATGTGTCGATACCATTGAGTAATTGCAATGAACCTTGAATGAACGAAAAGACGTTAACTCTTTAAAAAAATTAATGAGTATTAATTGGTTCGTAAATTGTATCATGTAGTATTGCGATCTAAAGTCGTTTGGTCTCCCGGTTGCTGATATAAACGTGACCATCGTTGCCGCCTTTCTCTCACAGCCGGCTTATTCAGCTGACCAGTCAGTACTGGAGATAGCTGCGGAGGAGTTGCGTTCAGGCTGCCTGCGTTCGGCGGAGGCGCAGGTGAATCTGCAGCGACAGGAGGAGGGCACTGTGTACTCCCAGATCCTCCACTTCATCAACCTCATCGTCAACTTTCGCGTGCCCTTGAGCGCTGCTTCACCCTTAATTCCCGCTGTCGATCAGCCTGCGGTCGCCATCTCCACTGCCCAGCCAACTCTGCTTCCGAGCAACAACTCTCAACAGAGTTTGCGTGGGCTACCAAATGGCTGGCCTTCTGCTACACTTACCACTTCCAATGGAGTACACGGCAACATCTCCCACGAAAGACGTGACTTGTCTTTCGTTAGGTAAAGCTTTTTATCTTTAAATTGTCACATGTGTATGCGCGCTTCTCATTTACACCTTCAACTACCGACCTTTGGTGAATATCCGTGTTTTCCTGGCCACGCCCCACTCAATAAGTAGGCTCTAGTAATGTCTATAGAGTCAGTTCATGCATAAGCAACACGTGAATGAAAGCATCACCTATTGTGGGTGCATCCAAGCCCCGAGGGCAAATGGCTAATGGTAGCGCGTTGCAGTAGCTTTGAGCGGAACAGAGTATTCAATTGCTACACTTCAGCTTTTGTGAATCCATAGGATCAACTTGTTTCCGAAATCCCATATTTTGAGTTCATAGACATCGTTTAATTAACTTAATTTCTCGTCTAACTTGGCATACAGGCTAAGCAGATCCTATTCATTTTAATAAGCTTAAAATCAGGTCTAATTTGGCCGACATCTCAGCTTTGGTTTTCGTGCACGCGTACCCACACTAGCCCACGCCTGTTCAGGCGCAGCAACCAATCCATCTCATCCTCGCCTCTACCGTCATCGTGAGTACCGCCTGTCTGTGTTTTTCTATGTTGTCACGACCGCGTTTAAAGCCTCAGTTTGATCTCATCTTTGTAATAAACGCCGTTTTTAATTTGCTTTAGCTTTCTTTTTCGTGTGTGTGAGTGTGAGTGTGGAGAGCATTTTTTTAAATAATCATCCCAGCTTGAGTCATTTTACCGATGACCAATCCATCTATAAATAGGACTTCTTTCACAACAGCGTAATCTGTTTTTGAGAGGGGATGTTACTGGTCTACTCTGCGCCACCTTCTGTTCCGCATCCTTGAACCCACTTGTAGAGAATACTTTTAGGGGATCAGATAATGGTTTCTTTAAAAAAACGCAATCACATGTTTATATGGTTCTTCTGCAGAGTGGTTTACTACTTCTACAAAATACGACGATGGTTTCACGAGGTTCGATGAATCCTGTCGATGTAACCCCACATGTCTTTTTACAGCTTGAGGTGTCCAATGAGTAGGAATTCTGGTTCAGCTCAAATGATTGTTTATTTTGGATCTTATTTTAACTACCAGGAATGACTAATTCTAGTCAACACGTCACTAACTAGTATGCGTTTGAGTGCCCACGCAGTACACCACTATTGTGTGTGGGTTAAAGATTATATTGCGCGCTTCAACTTTTGTGGCCCCATCAGTGCGTCGCCGGTCGCAAGTTGTCGCAAATTCCTGATGTCTTTGTTTTTTTTCAAAACAACGGTTTATCAAGTTGGCCTCACCACCGCCCCACCATTATAGGGCATTTGCACGGTCGCAGGGGAACGAAGATAGGCCGCAGTTCAACAAACGTGTCTAGTTTTAGAATTAACTACATCAGGTGCGTATATTTGAGGATACATGGCCGTTATTATTTCTGTGGTAGCCAGACAGATTCATAGGCAGCTGTGACCTTCCTTCTGTCCTTTACCGAGGGATTATGGTGTCATCTAATGATGGCAACATTATTGCTGCGCATTATGTCGTTGTGCTCTTGCCTGCTTTCATCTGTCTCCGCATTATACACTCGTAAAATTTTGCAGAGCTGTGCGCATGGTTCATTATTTCATTGGCCTTCCTTCTGTTAATTTTGTTTACTTTTATGTTTCGCTGTTCCGTGTCTTTGTTTAGTAGTGAGTGTGTGTGGTTTTCTCGTTATGTCATGCGTTTTAAAACTACCAAGATAACGCCGCAAGGTTGCCACAGGTACTTGTTTAGCAATCATTCGTGGGTTTTATAGTTTATCTAGACTAATAAGTCGTGCCAAAATGTGCTGTTCGTACCCAGCAAACAAGTAATGCTTAGGCGTCCGCAATACCAATTCGTGAAAAGCGCTGGTTCATGATTTGATGGAAGATGATTTAAATTTAATCCATTTGATTTGTACGTAGATATCTCTTAGAGGCAGCAAACAACAAAGTAACTAAAATAACCCATTTTAAATGGTTGCATTTTAGTATCAGCTGGCCATGCTCTTTTGTGAAGTTAATCTAATTTAACAAAGCTGGAGTGTTGATTCCCACTCCCTCTTAAATGGAGTAAATTTCTAGAATTATTTTAAATGACATTTGTTTAAATGCCTAAAGCGAACTAAATGTCCATCATCGTTATGGAGCTTTTAGTAAAAGAACATGGGCATTTGAGTAGTACGCCAATTACAAGAAGGCATGTTATGAATTTGGGAAATGATCCTTATCACATCTATTAACTTTTTATGTCACAACCGTCGTATTATTAAAAGTAATGTGGCCTTATAATTACTTAAAAAAACATCATGAAATCCGTCACGTTTGCAAGGTCAATCGGTATCACTGGTCCTCAGCAGTCTCATTTTCCCTTGTAACATTTGTAGTGATAATTAGTAAATACTCGAAGTGCTCGTTTTTACAAAACGTCGTGTCCCACACAATCGGCATCTTCGAAGTAGTTAGGTCAGATTAACTAAGCGTTGTCTGCTGCAGCGCGTAAATTGTGTGAAATGGTTGAATTTTGGAGTGCAGTGACGCAGGCATTACAAATGTGTGGTTTTATGTACAACAGAGAGAATCCGAACCATGGCTAGTCAAGTACTCAGGTAATTTATTTTGCGCAAGGCCTTTTGTCCAGGCCAAATATTGAAGCGAGTTGGTCTGGTTTTCTTGCAGCACCCTGTCATCGAATCACCACGACCGAAGGTCCATTTCCTATGGCGGCGGCGGCAGTGGGACTGGTGGTGGTGGTTCCGCTCTGGTCCACCACTACCCCGCGAACCCGCACAATGGCGCGGCACCGCTCCGGGATTCTGTCGCTGCTTCCGAATTGGCTCTGGGCGAACTTGCCGAGTGGATTCGGAAGTTTGTGGAAAAGGTTGGAACCGAAAACGCCCTTCCAGAAAGTAGCATTGTCGAAATAAAAAACAAAATAGACAGTAAGTAGATTTTGTGAGTTCCGTGTTCCTCTGCCTTTGCAGCGTGAGACTCGCGTCGTCACGTTGGCCCGTTTACCCTTATTTTATCCGCCCACTTCACAGGTACTGGCAACACTTGCGACTTAAGGGCCTTTTTTCCTCTCCAGGCATTTTGGAAGGTCATCTGCTTAACCTCGCTGATATTTATCCTGAAGTCAAGAAGATACCTAAAATCAAAAAAGTAAGGAAATCATTTGCGCCCTTCTTTTAAATGTGTATTTCTTTGTTTATATTTCTCGTCCTGTGCGCACTGCAACCCATAGACAAGGGTCGTCCTATTAACCCATCTTGTATTGTTTAGGCCCAGGACGTTATTCAAACGTTTGTGGGTTGTTTGGCCATTTTTGACGTGTTTTTCAAGAGCTAGTACTAACTTATCCGTTTTTTTCCATATGGTCCACTTTCGCTCTTTCTCTGCAGCCCTTTCCACTTTTAATTAATTCTTTTGCCCTAGTCCCGCGTTTTCCGGGAGCATTTTTGTCACTCGTTTGTGTCTAATGCAGCCATATGTTCTAAGGTACCCAAAGTGTGCTAGTTGCTAATTTTCGATAATTAACACGTCTTCAAACCCTGTTTTGTATTCACTTTACAACCATACGTATTCACTTGAATTGTTAGCCTGAAATTGCAAATCCGGCTCTTTTATCCGGTGAGAGCATTATTCGCCTCGGGGGCCTTGACCGCCTGCCCTGTCAACTACTCGTGGATGGTCGGATGGAGAGGGCGGGGGGAGGGGATTGGAGGCGATTGGAGCCGATGTCCCTCTTCGACACCGCCAGTGGCTTGTCCGCGTTGTCGTCAGCCTCCCTCTCCCACGAGATCCTCAACGAGGATGTTGACAGCGTCGGCCGAACTCTCGTGCCAGCTCAGGGCGCTCTCTTCGTTACCAACTATCGCGTCATTTTCATCGGCGTGCCGAAGGACCCATTTCGTATGTTCGTCCTCGTGCTTCTCCAAATATTCACATCTGATTTATACCGTTTGTTTAAGGTTGTTAAATCTCCCATGACCAACCAGCTACTGGCCAATCATTAATACAACTGCTGCATACCAGTTAAAATGGTACAGAGGATGGTGCCGGTGGATATCAACACATAAACCTTTGCTAGCTGTGTGCTATCTTCTGTCACCAGATTTCATGTTATTTTGGATCAGGTTTTTGGGCTGTCGCTGTACTCATGGAAACCATATGAAACCTGGTGTTGAAACAACCAATTTGCGACAGATGTTTTGCCCGTTTTCTTTTGTAGCGTGTCTTTACTTTTTTCTTGATTAAACATTTTCTGTTGTTTCTTTAGAGTCCAACAAGGTGGTATGCCGTAGTTTCCCCGTTGCAGCTCTGCACTCTATCAAACGCATCGGGAATACGCGCGTGATCACGGTCCCCGCGGCATCTACAATTGCCGCGACTTTTGACGTGAACGGTGGCAGCGGCGCCGGCAGCAAACATCTTCGAAAACAATTTGGCTCAGCAAACCGCGGTGGTGCAATCGGAGCATCATCCGCTGAGATCCTTGATGTCTACCGACTGAGGGCTCTCAACATGCAGATGCTGCGCCTTGGCTTTGATCCCGACGATGTTCCTTCGGAGGCTAGGGAGGAGTTACGGCACCTCCTTGTCGAACTGCGGTTCCACGCTCACATTGGACTCAGCTTTAATACACTTTCACCACCACGAACCTTAAACCAACAACCCACTTCGGGGGTTGCCAATGAGTAAGGTTCTTGCATTGATAGTAATGATAACTTAATTAAAATAATCAGGTATGGACTCAAGTATATGCAAAGAAACTTGTAGGATTTCGACTTGTCTGAAATTAAAGAAAGTTACTAAGCACTTAATAATACAACAGAAGCAGAAATATTGCGGTTGAATTAAATGTGCACGGACTTGGGTGTATGATGACTGCGAAAATGGTTGATGGAAAATTTTTTTGCGGTTTTTTAAACGTACTTTTTATCGATCTTTACCACGACATTCCTGGTATGGTACAATTAATTTACCTTTTATCTCTTTTTTACGTGTAAACCCTCTCATCTGCATAGAAAACACTCGGGAGTTTCTAAATAGAATTGATTTCAAACACATAGAAATAGGTGTTGAAGTGACGAGCGTTAGTTTTGCTTAAAATCGTTACCCGTGTTGATACTTCTTTATTACAGGTACGCACGACAGCCTTAGCAGCTCTTCCGATAATCGGAATCTGCTAGAGATATGGTGATCGATCGGTGACTTGATAAAGATAAATTTAAATCTACATAGGTTAAAATGAACTCACAAAGGCTAATCTGTTCCTTTGTGATTTTCTGAGCCACAAATTCAAGCACCTTGAGACAAATCACTCGATGGAGGAAGTGATTTTGGCTCAACCGACTTCGGACTTGGAGATTCACAAGAGCTCGATAAGACAATCAACAGAAAGCGCATGAACACAGGACAAAGTACGCTGATGTCGGTCGTAAAATGGCATCGTTTGTCAAGCAAACAACAATTAGGAAGGTTGGCCTGAATTAATAAGTTGTCTCATCACAATTGAAACATACTTTTAATGCCGGTGGGGTCGTTTTCAAAGGCATCACTACTGAAGCTCTGCAAAAGGTCATTTTTGGATGAAAATACCCATAGAAAATTACTTATGGGGTGTGTGTGTGTTTGGGCATTATAAGAGTTTTGTGGTTTATTTTGGCATCAAGTGTGGTGAGCCCTCGGCTTTTGGGCTGTGTAATGGTTGCCCGAATTTTACAGGATTCGTCGATGTAGTGAAATTAATTTTTGAAGCAGTGATTTAATTAGTCTTCCCATCCTCGCTCGTTGACACCTCAATGCCGCTCCTAGTCATAAGTCGAAATACTTAAGTAGTGAGCACCTCTTTCGTCTTTTTTTAGCAACTGAATCATTGCGGATGTCTGGAGTTAGGTTCGCGCAAATTCCTACCACTACCTCAGACATCAGTGTAATTCACTATGTTTTCGGAATTTAAGAGAAACTTTTTGAATCCAAATCCTCTATTGTCATCGAAATGTGAAATGCAATGCTGTGCCTCACTCCTTTTCCCTCGACCTCTAATAACTCCCCAGGTCACTAAAATGTAATCTCATTCCTACGAGAATGCGGCAAATAAAAGACAAAAATCATAATGAGTCAGATTATTAGAGGTCTGTATGTACTTAAATTATTTTGCATAAGAATTTAGCGGAGCAATACTACAAAAACAGAAAAATTTTCCAATGTAGTTGATTTTTCCCCTAAACCTACTTATAGGTGTCCATATTTCAGGATATCACACTTTTGGGGCTATGGCTTTTAGTGATTCGTTACGAAGAGTGCTGTGTGCGTGCGTGCGTTGTTCTGAACGCGTTTAACTGCCAAAAATAAACGGTACAGTAAATATTATGCAGTTTATTGCAACAAAACAGCTAATGCTTTCAAAAGGTTCGTAAAGAACTGACTCTTGAAGTCAATATTTACCGAAATCTAACGAAAATTAGCACTATTTTTATGTACACCCACACACGCATACACTTATATTTCCTAATCGGCAGCGATTAGTTGTGTAGCGAAGTGATCTTTCGGAACCTCATTTCGGTATTTAGTAAGAATGTAATTAAATTTCTATGTTTTTGGCACAGTTAAGGTAATTTTGCGGATTATCGAATCGCCCGACTTTGCCAATAACCGGGGACGAGTGAATGTGTTCGTTACGAAAAATCTGTCCCATACAATTTTCCATGCTGTTTCCATTTTCTGCATCGCAGTTTTTCTTGTTGTTAAAAGTAGCTTTTGGTTTGTCCAATTGTACTTTGGCCTTTAACCTTTTCTATAATCAAAAGATAGGCAACGTCCGTGGCATGGATTCCCCAGTGCCCTTGAACTGTCATTTGATTGTACTTGTCGATGTGTCTAATTGCTTTGTTGAATTGTTATTTTAACTGAGATTAGCGTTTCTTTGGGGCTTGATCTTGTTCCCGCCTTCGGTGAGGTGTCATCTGCTCTGAGAGTTTAGTAATATGTCGTTTTTCAAACTTACTAAAACTTCAGCAAGTATGGACCCTATTAGCGTTAACAAACCACGTAACAAGTTGAAACTTTAGTCCAGTTGTTTTTAACCGTCTAAATCGGAACAACCAGGATCTGAAAACTCATTTATCTGCCGATTGTAAAACAGGGTTCCTGCTTTTGACCGAATTTTACTTTCTGGCGCTTAGCATCAGTCACATTTATCTGCTTTTGATACAAACTTCACCGTAGGACTTAGTGATTGTTATGGGCAAAGTTTCCAGAGCGTGCATTGCTTCATTGCGGAAGATATCGCCATCACACGCGAGACCTACGTCCTTGAGTTCAAATATGCAACCACCGTCTTACAATGGTGCCAGTTGTTTTTCCCGCAGCGCTGATCCATCGCCAACACGTCCTGCGCTCTGTGTTGTTTACTCTTCCTTTCCTCGTGGACACTTTGAAAGTTAGTGTTAGAACACGATTTATCCTGTGTGTTTGGGACAATGAGTTCGGCGTGCCCCTGCTTTGACAACGCACGGCCTTATAGTTCTCAAAAGTTATCTTCACGAGGAATGACGTTTATCTAAATCGCTTGACAGGTTGTAACACCTGTTATGGATCCGCAACAGGGGCTTAGACGAGTAGGTGTGCATCGGGCCTGTCACTCGCCCCTACCTCTGTTGGCCTCTGTTTACAAGTTCTGTCTCAACTCCAACGCACGCCCATACAGTGATACATCTTGCCTAGCTCATCGTGTCCACTGTCTTCCTTTTTCTTAAGTTATGTGCGTGTCAACGCAGAATGGTATTGTTAGGTAATGCTGCACACTAATGGTAAACACGACATTAATTACCAAAACACTATTAGAAGCGGGCTTCGGTTGTGCGAAAGTCTGTTGGGCACAAAATTACAGTTACTGTCTTGCAGACTAAGACTCCATTTAAGACACCAAAATTTTGTCTTAAATGGAGAATTTTTTGTCACTACACAACAACTCTTCATTGATGTGTATTGCCTAATGCGATGGTGATTTTTCATGATGTTTCGTCGTCAGTTCAGTGTGTTTGTTGTGGCTTTCACAGACCCTCTTCTCACATTTTCTAAACCATTTTACTTCGTGGTTATACCAAATTTTAGGTGCCTTTTTGTTTGTTTTTGCAATGCTTCTCCTAGGTGCCGAACACCGTTGCCTGACATCGTGAAGCAAGAGTTGCAGAATCCAGTCATCTTGACACTGCAAACCAATGAGCATGAAGATGACACATCGGTGAGCCTGTCTGTTGCCAGCAGCAGCCGCAGCGGTCGAAGCAGTCGCAGCCAGTCTCAGGTCACGGCAACTCTGCACACTGCCCTCACGCCAGCTCCGCGTCTCCGTACCACTTCCATGGCTCGATTGTCTCCTTCCAACCGACTATCCGACACCGACTCAATTGGAACACCTGCCACAGGACTTTCTGACGATTCCTTACGAGGTTCGTCTGTTGCAATGGTGTGCACTTCGATGTAGCACCAATTACTGATTTGTGGTTTCTCCTATTGCGTATTGAAAGTGTTATCAGAGCCATTTTTTTAAATTATCAACTTCAATTAAAACATCTAGTTTCCCTTGTTTATTCTACTAAGTGGACGAGTTTACGGATGCCCAGTCAGCGCTCTCTATGACGCTGGAGAGTCTTCGCCTGGCTGGTATGGATCCGATCATTTCGGAGGCTTTGCAGCAATCTCCCGGTTACCTGGACTTAGTCCAAATTGCTTTGCGTACAACTAGTTGGTACAAGCACCCCTCTTCACCTAGTCCACTGTCGTCAATTAGGTCGGGCTGCGTCAGTGTTTCTGGTTCTCAGTTCAAACCTTCCCCAGTCATCACCACTGCCAATGCCAATTACGCGATCTCACGAACATACCCGTCTTTACTTATCGTGCCCTCGGTAAGCTGTAAAATCTCAGATTTCATGATCATTTGCTATTGGAACTCAATACATTTGCTTATTTTAACACATTATCGACAACTTTGTCGTCATAGTTCTTATCGCAACCAATGATATCGTCACGAAGTACTCTCCAGTCATATCTCGCTCAAAAGACTAGTCAGTGTTCACAGTTGTGGTTAATTGAATCCGTTACCAACATTGTTTTGTATTAATTTTTGCAGTAATGTTTGTGGGCTTTCATAATTTTTGATTATAACTCCTTTAGGCCATTTTCACTATGTTTGTTTCACGTGACTAGTTGTCGACTCAGTTTGTTCATTGTGTACCATGATATCATCCGTGCAATTCTTGGTAATCAATTGTTTTTCATTTTCGGAAAAGTTGTATAAAATGAAGTAAATAGTGGTCGCCGTTTTGAGCGACCTACCAGTGTTTGGATCGCGCGTTGCATTCATGGTTTGCATTTCAGGGTTTCAAGCGTTCTCAGTTGGAGCGGGTGGCGCGCTATCACAAACACGGTCGCCTCCCAGTGGTTGTGTGGCAGCACGCCGAAACCCGCGCCTTCCTGTTGCGCGGCGCCGCCTTCCAGGCCAAGTCCATCCTCTCTTCCTTCAAGCACACGGTCGGCGGCGGCGCTAGTGGTGCCCCCGACAGGCAATCCCTACTCTCAACCAATGGTATGTTCATAACCATCAGCTCAACTTTTTCCAATGCCGTGTTTATTCGCGCTCTCCATCTGAATATCAGGCTTATCCTACGGCATAATTATAAGTCATTTGTGTGACATGTTGCAGCCACCTGGGTGGCCCGATCGTCTAGAATTTCTCTCCAAAAACAATGGGACTTTGGTTTTTGCATTCATGTTTCTGGATAAAGCTATGCAAAGTAGTAAACTCCAGTGGAATTAAACTATTCAACTGTCATCATCCGTGTCAGTTTTGGGTCTCACTTTTTTGTTGGGTCTTTTCTTTCAGATAAACGAATGATGTGCGACGTCTAGTGACGCGTCATTTTGACGTTTATCAGAGTGTTCTTGATTTCAGGGTGACAGAATGCTTGTAGCATCTTAGCAACGTTGCCTCAGGCTGATTTTTTTCACCTGAGACAAGCGACCTCGTAACAGTTTAGCATCCATCTAACCTTTACAAAAATTGGCTCCACCGCGTTGATTCTCATGGCTGCGTCAAAAGTGAAAAAATGCACACCCTCGGTGTTTTTTGGTAGCTTTTTTAAATAGCCAACCATGGTGTGGTAGTTTTAACTCACTGCTTAGTTTCCAATTCACCGTTGGACCTTTTACGTTAACAGATGCTAGAAAATTCCATACTCCGTGACCTTTTGTGGATATGGGCGATAATTAGAAATGTCGGCCGTGTGCACCAACTGGCACGATCAACACAGTATCGGTGTTTTAGTGTGAATCCGCTTGGCAGCAAAACCTACGGCGTGTCCGCTAAACATTATGCATGCTTTTCACTCTCTATTATCCACGTTCAGTCCGAGTTTTCTACCCAATTATGTTTGCTGTGGCTCTCAGAGACGGTTTTATTTTAACGATGTCCGGAGAAGTTGGACCGATTTTCATTAGGCCCCACCATACGAGTACAAGCGTAACCGACTTAATGACGAAAGGAACACAGATGTCGACGCGAAAATACACATTTTCACCTGATCAAAATGACAAATTTGAATTACAATGCAGAAAAAAGTATTAACGCTAAATTATCTCAACACAATGTTGCGTATACTTTCGAGGACCAACTAAATTTGGAATTTATAACTGACATCTGGCCGTGTTGCGTGTAGGTGAAATGTGGGGGCGACCAGAAATGGCAAAACATCAGATTAGAGGCCAGTTAAAAAAAAGTGAAAACTGAAACAATGAAAGCCTATGAGCGATCACCATTTATTGCCGAAGCAATGATGGAACAAGTTTTCGCAACCTTGTTAAAATCGTTTGTTTTACTCTTGGTTAAAGGCGTGTATTTAGTGATCGATTGAATAAAGACTAAAATACAAATCGCGCGCTATGCGAGAAGCGTAGGGGAATAGCAGGAATCCAATAAAAGGATTATAGTTTATTTTGCGGCGTGTGTGTTATAAGCTGCTGTCATGTACGACTGAAATACGGTAGATTTCTACCGACATAAATTCAGTCGATGATGGTAAAAAAAGCCAATCTGGGTCAAATTTCTGTCCTCTGAATTTTACGCCAGTGTATCCCTTTATTCGTTTTCCTCTTCTGTCAACTCGAGCACGACACTTGAAAGCACAAACTAACCACTAGAAGTTGGTGGCAGCCATATTTGACACTAATTCTGAGGAAACATATATATCTTGGGTGTATTGTAGCGAACCAGCTGCTAATAAATTGTTGCTTTGTAGGTTTTGACACTACTATCCGTAAGCAAAATGCCGAGGTGTTGCAGTTAATCAACCAAGGACTATTCGAGCTTCTTACCTATACGTAGTAAAATTTAGTCATGAGTTTACTGCCTGGTGCCAGAAATTACCAATCGCCAGCTGTGACTACCTCAGAGGCATACTTGAGTATTACATTTAATAGGCGACAAATTGCTACCTTACGCGAATTGCGGCCTCATATCCATGACAAAACGCTTCCATTAAGTTGTGCTTTGGACAATTAGGTGGGGTATGGAGGAACAAGGTTCACGTCACGTGCTGTTTCTAAGTAGTCCAATGATGGCTTATGATTGGTTACGGCTAACGTCTCAATCTCAATTACGTCATTTTCAGGTTCCCATTTGTGATTTTCCTGTTTTATATAAGCAAGGTTTATAATGCTCCCTCTTTCGTCAGTTTTTTTGTTAAGTGTGTATTATTCAAGTGAATCCACAGTAAAGAGTCAATCGCATTCCATTTCTGTTTGTCTTCTTTTCATTGCCTAATCACACATTAAGTAATACCAATTATTTCTTACTAGGGATGTATAGCAATTTAATGCTCTCTCGTATTAATTTTACTTCGTGCAATGGTGGCCTTGGACTCCATTTACGACTCCTGTGCTTTTTATGTCTGTGATTATGTGACACAGTGCGACTGCGTTGTCAGTGCTGCCGTACGCTGTTTTTCAAATTCGCGGCTCCTCTGCTGCGTTGTTTAGAGTGGCAGTAGAACCACGACCCTGGGATTTCGCCTGGACGTACTGATGCCCCGAAATCTTGTTTATGGATTTATGTGGAGCTACGGCCTTTGCTATATTGCAAAGCTTGCTCTTCTTTCAGAAACCGAGGCCACTAATGCAGAGGCTTCATCAGCAAAGGAGCACGCGCGTTACTTTCTCTCTTTGGTAAACATGTCGCCACTGCCACCATCGGCAATCCTATCGCCCTCTGCGGCGAATTCGGCGTCGGGATCCGTGCGCGGAAAGCCAGCCCATCAGGCCTTTGATGAGCCGCTTTCCTCCCGCATCAACTCCATGATGCTTCTTCCGCCGCAGTCAATGGATCAGCAATTCCCTTGTTCGCCATCACCAACATCGAGGGGGGGTTTGCTGTACGAAAAGACCGGGTCTCTACTTCGCGCCTCACGCACCAGCTCCGGTGGTAGGTGGTCTATGAATGCACTTCGACACTTAATTGTCAACACTAAGTCATGTGCTTTACCGTTTTACGTTCATTCGCTCCATAGTATTAATGTGTTAAAATGACGTCGTATGTGTGCCTCGATCTTCTATCGTCCAGTGTGTTGAGACCCCTAGACCTCAAATGTGCTTCAGTTCTCTCGTTTTAAACGTTCAATTTTTGGAAAAGCTCGCATCTAGAACCACTTAACTAGACTTGGAAAATGAGTCTACCAACATGAAAGTTATGTTTTAGCTTTCGAACAAGCTGTTTCGTGTCTCTAGTTAGAGCTTGAGTCGAGACGTGTATGTCGTGGTTCGTAGTTGTTATGTCTAAGGGTAAGGGGTTGAGTATGAAGTACGCTTTATGCTTTAAGGAAACAAAGCGATGCGATGGCTTGCTCATTGGTAGCCGCCTTGATTTAATGATATGTCAAGCTAGAGAATACTAAACTAGTTTAGCCCCCATTTATTATTTTCTCTTTAAAAGAGTGCATTCAGTCTAACACCAGTTCGTTGTTTTTTATTTTCCTCCCCTCACTCGTTGTTCCCTGTCATAACCATTCCTACTTGCCTACTTTTTACCCATGCGTTGTTTGATTTCATAATTTTTTGGTATTGCGCTCCTATTTATCCGTCTGATTGTTCTCCACATTCCATCTTTTGCGGCCATTAAACCTGGTTTGTTTTTACTACTTAACTAACCCTTCCCGGAACTGGTAACTTAACATTAACTGCTAGTATTCGGTTCCATGGCGTCCCTGAACAAACCATTCGACAAACGACTCTCACTGTTTATCAATGCTGAAGATTGGAAGGATGCATCACCCAGTGTGATTTATACCTCTTCGGTAGATGTCGGTTCCACCAACCCGTCGGTCACCAATGGGCTCAAAGGCTTGTACACACCGCATCAATCTAATAAATCCAAAGGGCACATTCGTGGTGGGGGTAAAGCTGTCAACTCGTTTTAGTCCACACTTCTTCATTGTGATCGTCACTCCTTACATACGCTGCTCAATTGTGCATATTACTTTAATCTGATAATCAGGCAAATTAGAACAACTACTAGTTCTGTTTGCATTACTTCCTTGTTTTTCGCGATCCAGTTTTGTTGATTTGCCTTCAGAAAATGCAGTCATTCTGATCAACCTCATGCTGCGCATAAACAGCTCAAGAGGATGACATGATTTGCGTTGTTTTACCGCTCCTGCACAGCTTTGTGTGGCGGGCTTTCAGCACCTTTATCTTCCCAAAATCAAACCACCACGGTTGCTCAAAAAGCTCGTTTGTGAAACGTTATTACAAAATTTATTAGTTTTGTGTCTGCATTCATTTCATTTTGGTTAGAATCAAGCAACTCATTGCAGTCTGAAGGATGTCAAGTTACAGGAGATTGATGCGGAACGCCAACTGTTCCAATCTTTCAAGTTTGTTATCCTAGATTATAATAAGTTGTACTTAATGGAGATGACGACACATGTATCGTCTTGGTCATCACGGACGAATTTTTGTAGGTCTCCATACATTCGACCAATGAGATACGCGTTCGCCCCGTTTTTCTAGTTGTTCATTCTGAATAAATATCTGTTGTGGGCTCCAGCATGTGGTCTTGAACCACGCCTGATTAAGGGGTGTGAATAATCTCGATTCACAACATGTCATTATTGTCTAACATAATCGGAGCTTGTTTTGTTTGTGCACTCTACTACTAGTAAACGTAATGGGAAGCCGTGATTAATTACCCTGTTCTATACATAAATTCATTGATCACTTTCTCTGTTTGCTTATTTCAGTTCGCCGCGGTAAGATTCTTACCATACGCGCTTGCTAATAATATGCTTACCTCTCTCACGTGTACGTGTATGCGCACCATCGTTAACTATTGCACGCTGCATTTTACTGTTAACTATTTTTAAGTACAGACTAGGCTAGAAGACTTGGGCTTTCGCCCTCTGTGGTCTAAGATGAAGGGATGTTTTCGATATTCCATGTAGGCGTGCGGATATCGATTGCATCTAGGATCATTAGGCATCCATCGCCCTGTTTATTCCGAAATTAGCACCCTTCCACTCTGCCAACTGTAACTGCTGACCTATTGTTTTCTGTGGTTCAAGCGGCCGTATGTTTACGGAAGAGAATTACAGCTTCGCACATGTGGTGGTGTTTTTCCTTGACCCATTCTTAACTGTCTTGGCGTTTTTGCTGCCCCTCTCTGACTGCATTTTGTGTTCGAAAAAGGCCAACATTTAATACTCGGCGAGATGTTGTGACCAGGCTAATTTTGCTGATTTGCAGCTCTAGGGAAATTGTCCGGAGGGAAGACATCAACTTCTTCACATCCACACAGTCATCAAGATGAAGGAAGTGGCACAATAAGCTCTACCCAGCACCTGCACCAGGAATTGCGCATGCCAACAGCTCTCTACGTTCTCAGTGAGCGTTCAGTTAAGGTAAGTTATTAGCTCGCATCTCGAGGTTTCTGTGGGTTACGTGTGGTCAGCGAACGTTTGAAATAAATACTAACGGTGTAAGTTTTGGCTTTGATTAATTCAGAACTTTGAGGACCGTATATTTTTGGTTAATGTTGCCGTGAAGCTAAACTTGGTGGTCTTTCTCGACAGAATCACCACGTTTAATGTGCCGACCGAATTCGTCGCTTATTTTAAAGGTTTTAGCTGAAATCGCAAAAGCGTTTTTTGAAGCCTGCAATAATCTACGAGGTGACCAGCTAAGTTAGTCACGAATTCTCAGATTCTGCACGAATTTCCAGTGAGTACAACCATACCAGCCAGTTTTCTATTTACACTTAAATTGCAGACCACGATGAAATCGGGCCACTTTCCAGGTGTGGAGTTCATTCCAGTGGACTACGCCTCGCACTCTGCTATTCGCGAGACGTTCAAAAAGCTTTATGATGCCTGTCTACCAAAGGATGCGCGCTCCCGGCTTGGTGGTGTTTTCAAAGAGCATTATCGCGGCGGAGAAGGTGGGGTGCCTGGTGGCGCCAGTGATCACGAAAACAACCTGGCTACCGCTGCACCTAACGAAAAGTCGGCATTAGGCGGCGGCGGCGGAGGAGACACAGGCATCAGGTCCAGGTCAATAGGCGGTATCATCGCTGCAATCGCCGAGTCGGGCTGGCTTGAGCAAATTCAATCACTCCTCCAACTCGCCGGCGTTCTAGTTGATATCTTGGGGGTTCAGGGTACCAGTGTGGCTGTCTGCCTGGAGGATGGGTCTGATGTGGTTACGCAGGTGTGCTTTAGTTAATTTATTAATTGAAAAATGACACCTCTATGTCAACTCATCATAGAATCCGCGTCACGACTGATGACTGTCTTTCTAATACACTACGTCCCTGAAATTGTTTCGCTTGGATTCCAATCAGTCACATACTCAGCTCAATTTTTTTCCAATTTTAAACGTTTTGTAACTCAGGTCAAGTGGTGATTAGGATCAATACGTATGTTGCTGAGTGATTCACAGTGTCGCTTACACATGTTTGTATTACCGCAAACATGCCTTTTCAAACTTCCGTCTTGATGATATTGTCAAGTCTAGATTATTTTCGACTCTGAATAGTCGCATAGGGGTAATTTTTGGCACCATCCTCGCTTCTTCCATGTTTTACTACTGCTTCCACAATATTGTCAGCGAAACTGCCTGTTTTAATTTACCAACGTAATAACTTCCAAGAAACCTTCAACTAATCAAGTTTACTGATGATACCACGTGTGGTAACAATAAACCTTGACCTAGCTAAGCGAATATTTAAAAATATCAACGTTTATCATTTTTCTGAATTGGGGTGTCACCTGACGGTTACAGTTAGGTGATTAACTGATCATATGACGCAAGTGCCTGCTCTTGGCTTTAAAAGCTATGCAGAATTGCTCAGGCCATGTTGGCAACAAATTAGGTGTTATGACTAAACTATACTGCTGCTGATATATAGGGTTGAACAGGACTTAATGTATGGAATTCAAATCCAATGTCTATAAATTGTTTTATTAATCTATGCAGATAGTTTCACTCGCTCAGGTGATGCTGGATCCAGCGTACCGCACTGTTGCCGGTTTCTGGTCTCTGGTAGAGAAGGAATGGCTCCTCTTTGGCCATCCCTTCAATCAACGAGTGGGTCAAAAGGCAGGTGGTAGCAGCGGAAAGGCTTCGCATTTCTCACCAGTTTTCCTGCAATTTCTCGATGCCGTCCACCAACTCGTTCGACAGTTCCCGTTATCCTTCGAGTTTAATGACTTCTTCCTCCAATTCCTCGCATACCATCACGTCTCTAACAGGTTCTTTGACTTCAAACACGACTCGGAACTGCAACGCATGGGACGCTGGTCCAGCATCTCGTCTGCGCCTGGCGAGTGTGGCGGTCCTTCGCCTTCCTCGAGCGCGACAGGCGGCTACCAAACCCATTCGATCTGGCGTTTCATTCAGGAGCAGCATGAGGAATGGCCTGTCTTCTTCAACTTCTACTACTGTCCTGAGTGCACACAAAAGGCATGTAGCTCTTTTGCCCACCTCTCCGTTGACATTACATAGCTCTAACCAAGGTTACATTTGTCATACTCCTGTTCCGGTAATTGAAGGCAACGAGGATAAGCAGGATAAAGAGATGTCATTAGACTATCATGCTACTCTCATGTCAACGATTGAGAGTGTAGTAGTGCAAGGAATGAGTCTTAGCACATGGCCTCTTTCACAGGCATACTAAAGTCCGAATATGGAAAGGGGGGGACGCGAACATCTGTGTCCTCTAAACAAACAGTTATCAAACCTGCTGAACAATATTTTGTTAATATAAAAATGTAATTTTTGCCTTAGTTACTGACATGGAATAGTAAAGTTGATCAGGTGTTTGAAAGAAACTCCACGGGCATATATGAGTCTTTTCGCTCGCGATGTCATAAGTAGTTTACGAGATTCACGCTTGGTTATTTGACACCCATGTTCTCTGTGGTAGGCTATAAGTTTGACTCAAATTTGGCGTCCGACTCCCCTTTTACATTCTACAATGTCCTTACAGTATGATTTTTATTTAAAATTGGAGAGCGTTTACCAGCTACTGCACCAGGTGTTTATTATTTACTCCCATGTCTATTGACATAATTTTAAGGGTGCTAGATAACCTAAATACACTAAATTACGACACTAACTTTGTTGTACATTACGTTTGAGTTATGAGATCAAAAATGCCTACTTGGATTAATATGTGACGTACAACTTCAAGGTCAGCACACACAGCTTACTGTCGGTCTGTTTTGAGACTAGAGCGCCTTTGTGTTCTGTTGAGATGCAACACGTCTGGAGGAACACGGTCTACGTTGCCTCACTTTTATAGACCCTCATACCGGCCACGCATCAGGCGGCGTTAAATGTGTGGAAGTACTACCTTTCGGAGGATTTGGCCTCTGGACCTGTGTTTGATCTCGATCTCTTCTGTCCCAGCTACCGAAAGCACACCAACCGACCCTACGAACCGGTTCTTCGTCAGGGCTACAACAATAGCCATGTGGTATGTTCATCATGTACGAGATGCAACTAGAGGGCCTTACCTCCAACACTTGTTAAACAGAGGATCACTTCGCTTTGTCATGAAAAAAAAGGTTATTTCTGAGAGAATGGGTAATTCGTAGATACCTTTTTTTCTAAACTAACGAAACTGTTGCAACCGTTGAGGCTCGATCCAAACGACCGAAGGTGACAAGGACATTCGTTTACCAGGTGGCTGAACCCCGTTATGCGTGCGTCTATTCAAGTCTGCAATTTGCCCAGAAGGGACATGATAAATGAAGATTGTTGACTAATAGAGTTCGTATAAGCTGGTAAACTTATAAGTACCGTGGTGACAAGTTGCGTGATATGAGTGATGCATGGATAAAACTTCACTATCACGCGTGTCCGTATGACTGATGAGCGGCTGCAAAATGGGGCGGTGTGTTTGAGTACGAGGCGACAGATTTGGTGCACATGAGTCTTTAGAATTCACGACCGGAGATATTCTAAGCTTAAAACTTGCCACACTTCCAGCAGCAAGAGTATTTTCTGACTTAGGAACAAACCTACGCTCTGCTGGGTCTTCGCGAAGGCGACGAGGCTGTGGGCTGGCAGGAGGCCTGGTCTGAGGCTGTGCGTCTCTCAACTGCTGCGACTGACGGAAACGAGGGACCGTTGGCCACCTACACAGAATTACCCCTCTCAGAGGAGGCCGGCGCAGACTTTGACCGCATCGTCCGGGCCAAACTTGCCACCGACGCGCCAATACTCAGCACTACCCTCAAACCCCCGGCTCCCCCACCTGAACAGCCGTGCGCGTCCCTTCCCACACGTCAATCAACCACCTTTGAGGAGGACAGACGGAGCTGCGCGAGCGATGGTGACACGTCAATCACCTCAGATCCTGACGGAGGGGATAACGTGATGACGACGTGGGAAAACGTCAGCGACGCCAATGAATGCGTCGAGGCGCAGCGCGCTGTGTTTGCTCAGCATCGCGCTGTTACAATGAGGCGCATGAACCGTGCACTGGGAAAACACATAAACAACCCGCAATATCATCACATTCAGTCGTCAACCTTGGCGGTACCGGCCTCCACTACTGACGACGTTTATTCGTTGTCGCACTCGGTTCAACATAGCGGATCCCTCAACGATCTCCCGATAGCTGAGGATAATTTTGGAGAGCTCACAGAAACAGCGTTGTTTGAGCAGGTTAGTTTGCACGTAGGCATGGACGCGATGAATAGATGCGTAGAAAGTTACAGACGGTTGAAAAATTGCCTATGAGACACCCATGGGAAATGACGGTTATCTTGCTTGATTTTGTTGGAAGCAGGTCAAACGGAATCCGTAGATCATAATTCAACCCTATCAGCCGCTTCCAGCAAAGTCGAGCTAGATATGCGAGATAAATTGCAATATATTTTGAAAATTTGCAGTACACAACGTCTGGAATTCGGCGAATGACGAGATAGTATTGGCATTGGATACGCTAAAAGTGTTTGTTTTAATCAGAGTTCTTGGGGACATGAGAAATAGAGTAACGTGACACCAACAAGGCCCAACCAAGGTCAACAGGATATTTTTTTCACAGTGATGTGGCCTTGTGTGGAATATTTGACTGACTTCATCATGTGTGGCACTGAGATTGTTCGTCTCTTGTTCCAGCCGCACAATTTCCGCCGTGTTAAAACTACGCTTTCGGTATCGCGGTGTGACGCCTGCCAGGCGCTGATTCTGGCCACAGGCATCACGCGGGGCTTGGTGCGTTGTGTGGACTGCAACTTTTGCTGCCACGAAAAATGCGCCCTCGGGGTGCCACGTGATTGTCCAGGTGTGCCGACGCATCGTCACGGCAATCTGGCCGGGCCGTCGAGTCAAGCTGTCGGTAGTCTCCCGGGCACCGGTGCTACGCGACCTTGGAACAGGCAGCGCGCCAAAACCGAAGATCGCAGTGGCCTTAGTGATTGGTCTTCCCAGCCCGAATCCCTCAAACATTGGTCCTCAACTGTGTAAGCGCATTCCTACCTACCACGATCCGCTGCCATTCTTTGTTAGTTTTTTTTTTCAAATGATAAAACAAACAGCCTTTCTAAACTGAGTAACAACTCCAGAAGTCGACCGAGACTTGTGTGCAATATTTCTGCTTTCACGTCAAGGGTTTCCGCGGAACTTAATCACGATGTTTTTTGCTTCACCTCGAAACCTTTGCACGAAATATCCACTGAGCTTCACAGGAATTTCGTGCCAAGAATCAAAGCCATTTTGGTAGCCCCACTTGCTGCACAATCTTTGTTAATGTTTTTAAACCTTGCTATTATAGATTGGCGAGAAAATCGTGTCCACCGAGCTTAAGTATGCACGTAATAAAGTATTACCAACTAATCTTAAATGAAGGTTTCTATAGAGCGCCAATGATATTTTTGTGTTGCACGAAATGTCAACCACAACGGTGTAAACTACTCATGCATTAGGATATGGGGGCGCGACTAATCCGCCTGATGTAGTACTTGTATGGGAGTCTCGAAAGAATTTATACTCGCGAAAATGCTTTCATTATACATAATGGTAGTCAACCCACTGTCAATTTGCTTCATTTCCACTCAACGTGGCTTACTTCGATCGTCTGGGTAGTGGTAGGTTGAAGCGCATTTTCATCTTGACGTTAAAAAGGCATTCTTAGAACAAACTATCGAAGTTTTAGCTCATGTGTTAATCAGTCTTAAAATCCGACGTGTCATCACAAATGTGGTTTAGATGCATTCAATATTTTTAAAATAGCAGGCGAATAGTGAGCTAAAATGTTAAAGCGGGCCTGTAGATCTGACGCAGTCGACACGCAAACATTCTTATGATGTTAAAGTTCCCAAACCAAATAGACTTATTTAGTTGCTGTAAGTAACCGGGTTCTCTATGTACGATCTCATAAAAAGCGAAATGATACTCTGTCATGAGCCGAGCCATCATGTAGTCACAACCTGAAGTTGCAACACAACGAAGAGCCATCATTAAATCAACCACGATAATCGCTAGAAGTGTGCGGACCGGCCATCCTGTCGCACAGATCTAAAAATTCTTTTTTTACTAGATTTGTTTAAACGTAGCGTTTGCTCAATGACTCTCAGGTAGTAACGCCTGAAAATCAATGCCAGGACCGACGTCAAGGCACTACGATACAACATGCTAAAAAAATTCAACAAATACAGTTTATGTCGATGTTGCTGTATGCTAAATACGATGCCGAATTTAAAGATCGGTTTTTTTGTATAACCGACTAGTTATTCGCTTTATCTATAGAAACCGTCATGTGCCGAACGGTGTTGGTTCCTCAGGTACGCCTTCACCCCGTGAGAAAGATACAAAGGCTCACCCCTCGCATTCCCTCCACACAACTGACAGCGATTCTCCCCAACTTCGCCCGGATGTCCCTGCTCGACCTTCATATATTGGTTCCGTAGCCTTCTGTGGGGAATTGTACAAACTGAGCAGTCGGAAACTGCTAGCTGGCTGGAAGCCACGGTTCTTTGTTCTTGACACGGAGCACCATCAGATGCGTTACTACGATACGGCGCAGGACGAAGTTCCCCGTGGCTGTATAGATCTACAGGATGTGCGTGCTGTTAGGCTGCTACGGAATGCAACTTCTGTACCGCGGCGATTCCAAGATAATTGCACGTTTGAGGCACGTGCGGAAGCTACATTGCGCACGCACTTAATTGTTGCTGTTCTATAAATTGGTGATTTTAATAATTTTTAGATTGAAACACCGGCGCGACAATTCAGATTTGCGGCCGACGATTCAAAATCTGCACAGGCTTGGGTGGAACGAATTCAAAGCACAATCTTGTGAGTGCCGCTTGTCCTCTTCGAATCTGCCACCAGCACTTCTCGAATATCATGTCTTGTATAAATTTAGTGTAAATATGCCACTTATTCCCCCCTTGCTTGGAACACTGCATTTCTTACTGACGCCTAAAACCATTGCTGACCGAATCCCCCCCCCCAGCAATCAGCTGGCATTGTCAATTGAGGCTGTATTGAACCGATTAACATATAATGATTATGTGCTAACTTATCTCAAAATACCCGGCGCAATAAACTCCTGGTATAATTTTCCGATCAAACAATCTTAGCAATCAGTTTTGCTTATTTTGATTTTAAGTCAGCAAGGTTATAGACGATCAGCAATGCTAAGAATGATAGGACCATCAAGTCTGCAGGTTAGATACAACGATAGCAAAAATACACACAAGTAGTAAAAGGTGATTGATTACCGAAATAAGTTTATATATACATTTGCTGGAATACTGGGTAGTCTTTTTTGTTTGGCGGAGCATAGGAGATATACTGTTGGATTTCCTGAATGGATGCAAGAATGGGACGAGTCGCAGAAGAAATGTCTTTTTTGATGGAGGAACCGCACAAGTTCTCATAAAACGTAACGGCTATGCAGGCCGGAAGCGAGTGATAAACACAGTGCATCATGACAGCGGCTGCAAACCCAGAGACAATATTGGGTTGCTCCATTAACTCGAAATCAGAACAAGAGGAATCGGGGACCGAAGAAGTTTTAAGTACACGCACAAAAGGCGTAGGTGGCTTGGACTCACACTGAAAATCTGTGGCTGGAACGCTAGTCAATATATATATACATGAGTCAGCGTTAAATGCAACCGATGACAGCAAGGCTTCAATCCACTTGTTATAACCATAACATGGGGAGCGGTTTTCCGTTTTGCATAACCAGATAACGGATGATGAGGAAAACAAAAACGCCGAGCATCGCATGATAGGCTCTTCTGACACAATAACATCAATACTCTTAAATTTTGTAGCTTTGGAGAAGTCAAGATGGGATTCTAACGCCTGACATTGTAGAGAGCCGACTCCAATAATCAAGGTACTAACCCCGGATTTACAAGTTGCATAATCCGTAGTGATGACTTCTGCTTCAAGTAAAGAATCTGGTTCAGAGTCAAAAGCATCATCACATTCGCCCAGGGCCCTTGAGAACGCAGGAACTTTTTTAGGAAACAGAGTAGCCATTAGCGGGAGCGCAAACAAACTGCATACTACCACATCTCCCCCACATTCAATATCAAATCAGTTGTTTAAAGAAGGAACAAATAAGGTAAACCGTGAACCTACTTAATTTTTGAAGTTGCACAAATGTCTTTTAACTTTAACATTAACCTTACTAAAAAGAATGTGAATTCTAAGTATTAACAAACCTTAAATTAACTTAATCTTAATAACTGAATAGTTTCTAAGGATGGTGGGAAGAGGCTGACCGCACTTGAATGCTCAGTACAGCAATCACATAAAAAATTTACAACCAAAATACCTAAAATTAAGGAAATGTGCATATATTTGAAAAAGTGTTTGTAAAATAACAGTTACTTTTAGAAAAGATTTTGAGCTACGGCATATGATTGGATGGAGTTGAATCAGGAGTAAAATCGAATTTTATCACCGTTTGAGCTTCCTGACCAGAATTTAAACCATGTTTCAGGTTAGATTTAGGTTGACTTATGAAAAACTTATGGCTGTACTTGTGATAAAAATCATCTTATTTATCTTCATTGTACACATTACTGACTTCATTCGCTGGTTAACTCCTCATATTCGCCTCCAAAATAGACTACAAATCAACTACAAATTTTCACGTTTCTAAAATGTACGAGTCACGTACAATTCAAGAGTAAAAAATAATGTAATTTGCCATATTTAATGTAGTCATGATTATACAGTTAAAATATGCGTTGTGCAGCCTGAAGTTACACAGTATTAAAGTAATTGCTTAAATATTGTGCAGCGTGCTTGGGCATGATCAGAAGGCGTTGGGCCGAATGGAAAGGTTTATTAGTACAAAATATTGGTGAGGGTCTCCGGTATCGGGTTCCAAGTCATTGTTTACTTGGGGTTTTCTTATATACTTGGTCCGGGTTGCTCCTGTCCGCCCATTGGCTCCGGCCTCGATTCTAGAAATAGAAAGACAATCTCGTAAGGAAATCAAAACTTAAATGCTCCTAGCAACCGGAAGTCACGTGATGTTGCCCCAACAGCGCGCCGCTGGCTCTCGACCAATGGCTGGATGCCAAGATGGCGTCCATCTGTCCCACGCTGCAAATGTTTACGATAATATATTTGGCTACAAACGGATAAATTTGTTTGTACACTGAACACTCCTTTGTCGATGATGTAAGCGTGACATGAAAACATATTTTATGGCTTAAAATTTTTTGATGCCTGAATTTAGGAACTATTGTCATAGTGGTCTTAGGACTAATGCTTAATTAAAACAGGCACTTTTACTTTAATTTGAAAGTGCCTACGCCCTGAATAAAGTTAAAAGAAACACCCATTTTAGCCTTGGCATGAATGAATATATATTAACACGGCGTTTTCTATCTTAAAACATTTTATCGACTCAATCTGTGACTTCTACGCGTAGTTGATTATGACTACTAACTTTTGACCGCCCTATGATATCAATGCATATTGGGATAAAATTTCTTCAGTTTCATGATTCGATAGTGTTCCGGTATGGTTACTGCGGAGAACATTAGTACATACATGCTAGATTGGCACCATTTTAAGAATTCAAGAAAAGGAACCTGCAGTGCGTATTTTTAATCATGCTGATAGTCCCTATGAATATGCAGCGTTAGTTTAAATTATGATAAGGTAAACTTTGCTTTCGAATACGATGATTCAACTAATAAAAATTAGAACGATTTGACGTAAAAGCAACAAAATCAAAATTAGATTTCTGGTTTCATTAAAGTCCCCCAATTATGACATAAAAAAATTGCTAACCAGAAATCTCTGGGTAATAATGTCGAGAAATCCTTAAATTATCCAGTACTAGTACACACATGGTTTTAATTTTTTCTGCTTTTTAGCTGCTTATGGCATTGGTCAAACTGGCCGTGGCTATGAGTTTGAAATCTTGAGTTGATATTTTTATAGTGCAGTTACTTGATACCTTTAGGAAATCGAAGTATGTAATTATAGATAGTTGATAATTACAATAATATATCAAATAGAAACGCAGTGCAATACTTGTTGTAGTTGATGGGACTTCACAGTCTTTCCCTGCAAATCAAGGACACTTCTAAACCTGATTATTTTATTTCCTAATCTCTACATTTAACAAATTAATACTAATCAACAGGCGAACGCCGCCAATTTTAAACTTTAAGCTAATAAAGTCATCAATTTAAATTTTGCACCTAAATAAAATCGTCTTTGCAAATTTTGTTGCACAATAAAGTTTTCTTTTTGTAGATGTCAGCATTGAACTTTGCAGAATTAAGCTAAATTATCTGAACATATTCGTGGATATCTGAATTAAAACGGAATAGTTTTGTCTATCTGAATTTATTATTGCTTGCTAATATCTTGCAGAAATTAATTTTTATAAATTAGGCATAACGATGCACCACAAAAGTTAAAAAATGTGTATCCCTAAATTATTTTATCCACTTTGTTAAAATTACCTTCAATACCCTATATTCTATGGTATTATTGGTTATCTTTGGGGTCGCAGTCTTAGTGGTCGTATACTCAGTGTACACGCTTTGGCGCGATGAATGGTTATCAATTGAGTTTTGTATTATTGCTGTGTCAAGGGAACTTAACATAAAGCATGCTTTTAATCAATGAGGTTGCTAATATTGTTTTGTTGTCTGAAGGTTTGAAGACACGAATAGACTTAAAAAGTGTAAGGAAATCTAATTAGTTAATGTGGGCAAGCAAATAAGTAATTGGCGAAGCCGAACCACCTTTTTGGTGGTGGATGTTTTATTTTGGCTATTGACTGTCTGTTGCCACAACACCAACCAAGTTTGTTCTTGGTCTTTGTGTACTTTTCTAGCAACCAAAATGTTTTTTTAACTTACTTGCACTCTTTGCTTTTTTAAAGCACATCTCAAAACCATTTGCTTAAGTTGTAACTACAAAGGTTTTTAAACGTGCTGTTTAAGCCACACAAACGTTCTGAATCGTGTAAGTTACATTTTTATAATTGGGGACCCAGGACCATTTGCAGTGTCAGCCAAAAACACAAAAACCGCAAGAGAGTAATTCTCTGAGCATATTACCTCAAAGCAGGGAACCAAATTGTACCTCTTAGATTTAACATAAGGTTCAGCAACCAACATTCTAAGAAGGGCCGTTTTCCGCAGTGTACTGCGAGATTAATTTATGTATTACAGTAACCTGCTGTGCAAACTGACTGTGTCACTTCCAACGAATATGTACCTTTGACGGTTTAGGTAAAGTATTTAATAAAACTTTGGAATATGGACAAGAATAGTCTATTAGCATGATGTTTTATTCTAAATATTTCGTAAAGTAGCCGATTTCAAAGTATTTAAATAAAGAAACTTGGAGCATCGTTCTTTGACTTCTATCTCCACACATTTCCTGAAAATCAGTTTGACACTTATTCTTTGCTTTTTCAAGGCCCATCAAGATACTGGACGAAAGCGTCACAAAAGCGCAAATTCACTTCAAGGTGACCACGTTCACGATAGCAGAACGCCAAATGAAGCACTCGCTTTCACCGAATACAAATGGGATGCAGGAAATCAATCAAATAAACAAGTTAGTACAAGCAATATTTTTAACGTACAAACTACGTGAACTCAAAAAAAGAACTATCGGCTTAATAAGCCCTGAAGAAGTTGATTGAATTTATGGTCAAAGTTTTGAATACTTGAGCAGTGTTGTAATGATGTGTATAGCATTGCCATTTGAGTGAGAGCTTTATTTATTTTAAAAATTTAATTGCAGATTATTGATTTAAGATGTGCTTCAATGATAAATTAAGTTCATATCGATTACTGGTTAAGCAAATAAAATCGGATTCACTCTGGATCTTCTTAAGTTTTCGATCTGGTATATATTTACATCTTACATTTGCATTCAGTAACGTGTGGTCAAAGAGGATAGCTAATCAAACCATTCAATTTCAAATTGTGTTTAAGGTCTGCAAGGGCACACATAATTAGACCTGGGCTCATATTTGGCATTAAGAATGGCATTTATTAAGAAGGAAAATTTTTTTCATAGTTGCTTACATTATCTCGCTCTAGCAAGTAATTTTCGAGACTGTCAGGAATTTTTTTCACTAGAGCAAATGGATTAAATTTAACCCAAAACAATCCTTTCAATACAAAGATTAATGAGTCAGTGGTCACATTTCAATAATTTCTCACTTAATGATTTCACTAAGGTACTGAATTTAAGAAATAATAAACTGATAGTACACACCAGAATTACGTTAATTAACATATAGTTAAGCAATAAATCAATTTGCACAAAGTATGTTATGCATCTAATTTACTACTCAGTTGACTCTTAAATACTGGAGTTAAGGTTTGTTCATACTGCTAAACAGTCAGAAGAACTGAATAGACTTTGGTAATGAACAATATTGTACGAAATTTCAAGTGCGGTAGCAGTGTTTAGTTTTAAGCAGGTTGCACTCCTAGTAGGAGGTTTATGTACTTTATTACTGCATTGCGAAATATTAAAGCTTTGCCAACAGACCAAATATTATACTCGTCAACTGAATTGCATAAGTTGATGCTTGGAAAATTGCAATCCTCGAACAAACCACACCAACAACAAACTGGTAGGGCTGTTTTCTCAGTTAGGCGATCTGACAGCCAGCATGAACACGCGTGCAGGCGTGGTTACAAACGTACGGGGTGTAGCGAATGGCGGGACAGTGAATAAGCTGGACGAAGGGGAAGAGACTCTGAGTCGCGAACTCGAGTCCCACAAGGAGCTTATTCGTCAACACGCACGCACCATTTGCATCATGGAGGAGCGACTCGTCAACATGGCCAAGCAGCTCAGCGATGCTCGCGCTGAAGCCCTGCTACTTCGCAAAGGCAGGTCCAATTTGGTTTTTAATATCGCACTATTTGCATCGGTAACACGAGATTCTCTAAATACCAAAGCAGTCACTTTGCATTTTGATACTTCTAACTAATTTGACTTAAATGCCGTACAAGGTATACCAGAAACTCCCCACAAAATCGGAATGATTGACCTAATCATATATTTTGACTTTTATCAATGTCAATGGTCTCGAAGTCATTCCCATGTGATTCCAAGTGTAATTGTCTTTACTATACTTATGCATGATTTTTAAAGTTGTCATCCGTGAAACAGCAGCTAATGCTTAGTCGTTCAACAACTGAACTTTGTAGGTCGCCTCATATTTTTGGACATATTTCGAACAGTACGGGCAATTTAAATCAGAAATCAGAGAAAGTGATTCCACAATATCTGTACCACTAGGTTCAGACGCTTTATTTGCATCTCTGATATGTGTAACCGCAATTAGCATAACTTAGAGTGCAGTTTATGGGACATGTCAGATTTTCATTCCTGGTGACCATTTGCATTTACTGAGGTAAATAATGTCCGCGTAAATGAATGATCGTTCATTGAAGACAATAATGGCATTGTGACTTGCAGTGGAGATAATAGCTAAGTTGAACAATATGCGTAAGCTGTGGTTTTTAGAAAGAGAAAATGCACTGTAAGGAATGATTTGGTGATGTCACCTAAGAAATCCTTTATGGACTTAATCGTAAAAGTGAATAATTGTTACATTACCAAATCCAAAACAAAGAATCTATTGCTTTCTGTTTAAAGCAGGTAATTTGAACTTCATGCCATCCTTTGGTTCCTTGCTCGGTGTCGATTTCTCTCTGAGACGACACTTGTTGAAAAGTTCTATCAATAATTTCATAAGCTGATCTTTTCAGCTGGGCTTAAAAATAAGTTCCAGAAGCTCAAGTAAGGCTTTCTTGAGTGTCCGTTCTTAGTATTTTGTTGAATGTTTCTCTCGTTATATCCAAAAGCTCTACAGTCACTTTGAACTTTAATTTATGTTCTTATGAGCAAACGCTGATATTGTACACATAAAATGTCGTCGAATACACTTTTGCTAGAAAGTAATTTTGCAGCTAAACGTACGTTTCTTGTTCAAGAAATCTCATGGAATATTTTTCATTTTTCTGCTACTAATGAAAACCGAGTTAGAAATGAATTTTTCCTGCACAATAGTAGACTTTGTTTTCAACAAAATTGTACCAAGTGCATGCTCCCCGTGACTCGGACTCGAGCTCTTCACCTTCACACGACATCGTCGCCAGCCAGTTGGTTCTCCACTCACACTTAAAGTGGTTTAGATTGGTAATGAGTTGCATAAGAACTCATCATTAACACTTTTCTGAACTTCAGCTGTGTTAAATAACCATTTAAGCAGGCCCCAATTTTATGGTTAACTCGCATGTACATCAGGTCTAGTTGCTGCTGAAAACATTACGAAATTGCGACAAGGAACTCCCTAGCAGTGTAGTTGTTATGTTTTGCCGTAACCAAGACCACACACTCCCTCGGATAATCGGCACTCCAGATCCCTTATCACACGCTAGACACTCCACCCTCCCACCTTCCCGCGCTAATGCAAGACAAGGTAGGGCCTCGTGCACTGAGCTTTTAATGCCTCAGCCAAAGGCCGAGTGATCTGTCTGAATGCACCCACGTATATAAGTCAAGAATAACCTTGACCGGATAGATGAAGTGGATTAACACAGATGGGGCTGTTAGTCGGGTGCCGCGGGCGACGTACCCGCTGGAGTAGCGTGGCTAGGGGAATTGTGTAGACAGCGACGAAATCCTCACCCGCGATGAGCCGTCTAGGGGAATGCTGGATCCCCAACAGTAGTCCTCGATCAAACTCAAAACAATGCATAATGCCCATTCTTTGAGCTGCGGTAGATAAAAAAACACGAACAGCCGTGAAAAGTTAATCTTCAACTAAATCGCGAAGGACGGAAATAATAAATGACCAGATCATTTGGGATCGGATGATCACACTCAAATGTCGAAGACTTCCATCTGCATTGTTGATTTATTTTTCACACTGCCTCAAGTTATTTTGAGATGTAGGTTAGACATTTTTCATGATTTACATTGAACTCATGCCCAGAAGAAAGGAAGGTGCTGGGACTTAGCAGTCTCATGTCCCAGTTTTTGTTCTTTTTAGAAAATCATGAACGCAATTCGCAGAAGACAGTGCGGTCGTTGGGGCTTCAGGTTGATATCGGCATCAGTCATTTTGGATGGAACCACGACGCTCCAGTCCTCCTCAATAATGCACCTGAGACGGTCAAGCTGAGGTATGAAAGACCTGCTGCAAGCTAAGAAATGTAGTAAATTCTACTATGAATGCCATAATCGAATCATCTATAGGCCAAGGTTATTGATACGAATCGCCCAATTTCAGCGCTTAATTACTTCTGTCGTAAGGAAGGGGCACATAGGTAAACAAATTTCTGAAAAGATGCCTTAGCGTCTAAGATTTCGACAATTACTATTTACGACCCATCTAGATGACTTAAAAATGACTACTACAGTCATCACGTTCAGGTTTGGATGGCACTCTTGAATATAAACTCGACGTTGTGGCTACTTCTGCCTGATATCGTCTTAATAGTGAAGCCTCATTATGAACTTTAACTCACTCATCCACAACATTGTATCATTGGATCGACTCACTTTGTCCGATGTACATTAGTCCAGAAAGTGGCATTCCACATCCACTTGGTGCCACTTCGTTGCCTAACGTTTTTGGGCCGTGTCTAGTGTGATTTAAATCCTTCTGTAATTAGTTACTGTTAAGTTTTCAGTACAGGTAATTGACTTTCGGGGTGAAAGCAGTTTTCATACTTGTTGAAACAAAGTTTTTTCTAGTTGTCACTTTGTGTCATTTAAGACTACTTATAAACGAACAGTTCCCCACTATTTGGTTAACATCTGATTAATTATAGCACCACATAGTTGACCAGTTCAATTCGGCAATACTTAAAATTATTGCAAGTTTTATTTGCTTAGGTAATTACTTTTAATTTCTTGAAAGGCACAGCACAGTTTTTGTAAATCTGGACACTCTTAAACCTGTTTTCAACGATTATTAAGCCATGTACTGCAAAACTCACCTTTTGGGGTAGCCATGTCTCAACCGTAAGCTTATATTGGTTAGGACAAATATCGTTTTGTCTAATGTATAATTTGGTAAGATAGGCCTTGTCTGATTTCACATTTCAAGCCTCACATAAACAAGGAACACCGCATATGATGTCTAAAAACTCAACTAGGCAACATGGTATTTTCATTTACGTTTTTGATTTGCATGGCAAGTAGAGCAGCATCGGATATTTTTCGGTAAAATAATGCCGTTAAATCTCGCATGAATGCAAACTTCATCCTCTAAAGGACATCCTGTAACATTGTTGCAGATGTTGAAGCGTTGGGTCAAATGAGGGCACAAACGCATTACACAGGATTACCTGAGGTTGACTTCAATCAGGCATTTGTAAGCTCTCCGAGCAAATAAAGCAGTAGCAGGAAATCTAGCGTAAATCTAAGTGGCTTCACTGACTTCATTCATAGGAATGCGGTGAAGGCGATAAGGGAGGGCGAGACGGCGGAGCTGACGAGGTTACGAGGCCAAGTGGCGGCGGCCGAAGCGCGCATCAGCGACGCCGCCAGTCTGGCTTGCGAGGAGCACAAGGTGGAGGCGGAGGCGGCTGCTGAACGCAACCGCAGGCTACAGAGTCAGTTGGACGAGGCCCGTCTCCATCTTCAACAACTCACTGCAGCCACCAAAGTACTCAAAAGAACCATCTCTGAACAGAACAAAGCTTTTGAGTAAGCAGTCACACCTGCTAAATGCATTAATGCGAACGAAATGCAACATAATGTATTTGTAAGTATATCCCACTTTCAAGCGGGAGGTGAAATCAGTAAACACGTGGTAACTGATTTTTTTCAAGGAAGTCTTGTATTTTAATCAGTATTTTGACCATTCAAGTTTCAGCCACCACGGTCAATAATGCGATGCTTCATATGCAATCATCAATGTGGAATTAGTGGCCTTATATCCTTCAAGTGAACTCAACCGACATTTGCCGACACGATCAAGCCTAACGTTTGCAATAGTCACATAAGAATGTAAAAGCATAAAGACAGAATGTTCTCAACCTAAGAAGGACACTTGTGTTCTTGTTCGAACGGATGTTTTAAGTTGTAATTGTGCATTTCGTTTCCTTCTCAGCTAAATGGGTTTTCTAGTAGACTAAAATTCGCTTTTTTTACAGGGGTACCTTTTGTTTGTAAAATAATTATAACTTAACGGCAAGAAGATGAAGCATTTTTCCAAGAGTAATCAATAACGTACAATTGGTCGGGTTTGTCAACAACATTAGCAGTATTATATTATTCTATCCCACTCAAAAATCAGAGATACAGTCTTCATTGCCGTCAAGTAGGCATCACGAGTTGAAAAAGGGGAATATTATGGATTGTAAAACCAAATAAAATTGTGGACTTTTCATAAAAGTGCAAGACTACCAAAAGCCATCACGAAAATTAAAATTTAGTCTTACTCTGCTGGAATAAAAATTATTAGCAGTTAAATGCTTTAGTGAAGTGATTAAGGAAATTTTACGAGATACCTCCTAGGTATTTGTCCCCAAAATTGCACGGATATATCCCCTTAAATTAGTAGGTAATTTCACAGAATGAAGAATGTATTTGTATACACACAATAAAGAGAATTCATTGCAACCTACTCTCTAGGGTGCTCGGTTAGCTCAAGTGGTTACAATCAAGTCGGTTCTCACAGTCGTTTCAGAAGCTCAATTGATGCCATAATGCACAAATTAAAAAGGCTGGATTAAGTTAAATTTTACTCATTTTACGCAACAGCAGAATCGACTATAAGCTGAAACAGTTTGACTTATTCTGGCCCGTGCAAGGAAAACTATTTTTTCAGTCTTGCTTGTTTTCCAACACCTGGCACAATTTGGGTAAATCCGAGGTCATAGCTGAGATGCTTAGCCATCATCCACTGTTAGTGAAAAAGATTAAGTAGAGTTTATCGGAGGAGTTGTTTTGTAGGAGAACACAGGCAGTCGCACAAGGGTACCACGACGCCTTGGTTAGCGAATCTGCTAAGGTTGCTAGTTTACAGCTAGAACGCAATCAAGACTCAGTCCAGCCGACGTCGAAATCCCCATCGTGCAGACTGGAGTCGCTTCGACGGCAGGAAGAGCTTGTCAGGCTTGGCATCACCTGCCAAGGTGAACGGCACGGGCAGACCATTGCGGCGCAGCGCATCGCTCTGGGCGACTTGAGACAGCGTCTGCACCAACTCGCCGCCTCCGGTCCCAGGGGGCTAAGTGGGTTTTTGCTACACAGTGTTTTATAACTATAATGTATAATTATTACTGAATAAGTTTTTAAAGTTCGTGTAAACAGCAATTTTAGGCGCCGTTTATCGGGCGCCAGTGGGGGCTTTCAAAAGCACACAACCTAAGGCTTATTTACTTTTTCCGCAAATAACTGGGATTTTAAACACAAAGTCTGGTGATTGTCGTGAATTGTTTTCTATGTTTTCTGCAGACTTGTGTTCACTATGGTGGTGGCTTTGAATCCTTAAGCACGGAATCGAAATCAAGGTTTTAAATTATAAGAACGTGAAAACCCAATTTTTATGGTAATTGCAGTATTGTCATGTGTCGGTCGTTTTTAACAAAACGCACTTCCGGTTTGGTTGTCAAAGGGTTGCAAGCAAGCGATCTTTCCCTAATGTCCACTAAATATTCTAAAATGAATTTTGTGCAACATTACTAACAAACTATTCAAAACAGTTTTACTAACACTTGCCGCATTCCCTTTTTCAGTGTCACGTTTTGAAGAGTAAGATGCTGCTAAATTACTTAACTTCAAAAATTGTTTAGTCAGAGATGTTTAGGGTAAAATGAACGAATTAGATTTCTCGAATCATTCATTGAGTTTTGTCAATCGTTAAATCGAGCAGTGGGAAAGATTTGTCATTATAATCTTGTCTTATCCATTGTTTCACTCGTGGTTCCAGTTGAACAACGCTTAGAACTTGCTTAGTGGATGATCCACGCTCATAAAATGCCACAGTAGCAGGCTTATATTTCAAACATATTTGCTGTATAAGTTATAGTAATCCACATTTCTTGGATCATGATGACAAGTACTCGTTTTAGAACCAGTCGAGGCCCTTTACTTGTATAAACATCTATTTGTTGGCATCAAAGTTTTGCGTGCGAGCATTGGTAAGATAAACGTGCTTATTGCCTCATTTGCAGCTTTGAGTCGGCTCGATAATGTGGCATTGGGTTTGTGCCTTTTAGTGGTACAATGCACAGCACACTGTTTGTTTTTTTGTCTAATTCAGCTCCGAATAATTTAATTTCACTGGAGGAAGCCCACCGTCGAGAAATTCTCAATCTTCGGAGGCAGCTGCATGAACTTCATAGCAGGCTAACAAATGCTGATGCGTGCGTGTCAGCAAGCCCACAAAGCCGCTCTCAAAAGCAGAGCACAGGGACTCCCGACCGACTTCCAACTGGGCTGCAAGTTAAGGGAAAAGATGCTCACAAAATTTCCCTAAAGGCAATTATTGAGGCTCTACAGGCATGTTTTATGGATCAACATCTTAACTATCTACTACATATATGATTGCCTATGTTTAAATAAAATGTCATTAAGCATCAGACACCTGTTTCTAACCAGAAATAATCAAGTTCGTTATGCCTTCAAAGATCACCAGAACGCCCCATAAAATTTCAAAATGCCACCAAAATGACAAATGAAAAAGCTAAAAATGACATCCACGTGTACACATCGGCTCCAACTTTCCCAGGCCATTTCAATCTGGCGGATTGTTAACAAGCTGGGAGACTCCAATTGCCTGTCCATTTAAATTCGTGGCGTCAGGTTTAATAGACAAAAGTGCCTTTTGAAATTCGGTGTCTGTTAAATGTGAGTCTGTAAATATTAAGAGTCCCAGCCTAAAACGATTAACACGTTTGTGCACCGATCTTTGTTGTTTATTGTTTCTTATTAAGAGACAAGCAAACGACTGCCCACAAAGCTACCTTGTCGAGGTTGTCAATTACAACTCTTCACACACTGGGGCGGTTTAAAAATGCAGTTTTATTGGCAAAAGCAATTAAATTTAATAATTTAGTTGAAGTGACTACTACATAGCATTCAGTGTTTTGCTTGTGATTTCTTAAAATTCTAGTAGTGCGTCAAAATAATCAAAGCAAAGGCTTTTCCGTTACTTATTTGCTTGGCACAATAGCCAATTAGATGAACAGATATTAGGATAATATTACTTTGTCATCAACATATGTAACGGACCATCTGGTGGTAATTTCGCAAATTCGAGTCACTTAGAAGTAAAATGTTTATCAAGATTTGTGAAAAAAGACGTCCAGTGTTCAACGAAACGGCAATGACGATCCGTAATTGACACAACTTTGTAGGTTTTTTAGCTACAATGCTGGGACTAATGTTTAAGTTATCGTAAAATACGTCCACTTTGTCATCCACCAAAAAGTAGGCATCGTTTCACAGCTTGATCTTAACAATTCTGTCAGTATTTGACAGAATGTGCGATTACCTGCCACCATAGATGTCATTAACAAGGTTTTGTGTCCGATAAGTCTCTAGAATTCCCCAGTTTCTTTTCGCAGAAAGGGACTCGCGTATTGTCATAGAAGGTCAAAGTTGAAGAAAACGTAATCAAGAAATGGCTGGTGGACACAAAAAAATTGAGCTGTCATAGTTACATTTTCAGTGTCTTCACCTGACCTTTAAAGTAGTATGCAGTTCTTCAGACAAGAAGGCAATTAGTTGATGTATTTTTTAATTAATGCCACAGGTAAAATGCTTCACTACGTACAACCTGATACCTTTGGAGGATGTTTAATAGGTTACTCAATCACATATTAAGAGACATCCTGTGGCCTTCGCTTATTATTAATCAGGAGGAGATTATGAAAGTTCTTCAGACCGCACTGTAAAGGGATCCACTTTGTGACTAGGCCAGTTAATATACTGTGATTTGTTTTAAAAAAAAACTGATCTTTTTAACTCCAAGTGATAATTATTATGACTGCTGCGTAAGCCTTTGGTATCAACTTTTGCGAGGTTTTAATGTCTCACTGCTAAAGTAATGAGACGTGATTGAATTTATACATTGTTCCCAGAGGACCACACGATTTTGATAATCTTTGTTTCTGACAGCCATTGTTTCGTGTTTTTTCTCTGATATTTTAATTTAATGTACCATTAATTAACTTATTTAAGATAAATACTTAATCACCTTTCGTATTGATAATGTAAGCTAACATATTAAACCAATGCTGGAATTCCATTCAATTTTCAAAACGAAGGAGAGCTATTTTCTCGAAATCCATAGAGGATATGCCACCATCACCACCACCACAATCACCACCTAACATTAGTTAGTCAATACTTTTTTGCATTTTAGGATATTTCGCTGCAAAACATGCTATGCTCAATGTTTAATATGTGGGTTCCAATTTAGCAAATGAGGACACTTGCCTTTTGACATATTTACACTTTAAAAGTCGACAGGAAAAGTTATCAGCTCTCCAAATCTTTCTTCCTAGCACTATCATAGAATATGGTTCAATCTGCTCACTTCTTAGGTGATTTCAAAGGGTTCATGACCGTTCTTCGTGCATGAAGGAAGCATGCACTTTAGACTGCTGGCTTTTCCTGAATAATCGTCCTATTAACTGGCAGCTATGCGAATGCATCGTGAGTCAAAGTAACCTTAAAAAGTCCATGCCAATTAGTTTGTGTGCAGGTAAAAATTCAAAAGATAAGGTGGAGAGTCACATTTTCGTTGTGTTGTGCTAAAAGAGTTTAAACTGGGAGTGAGAGTTGGTAGTGCAGTAAAATTATTCAAGAAATGTACTTCGGTTGAACTTCCGGTCTTAGCACAGTTAACATGCAACTTGGTCGATTTCAAATTTGTGACCAAAGTAGATGCTAAACTTCATTCCGAACTACCTCGCGGTATTTCTCGCCTTGCTAGTCAACAGTGCGATAACAAAGAGAGGCCGGTTGCATGGAAGTGATGCCTGGAGTTGGTGGCAAAGGTAGTGTTGCGTCCAGTGAAAGGTTTGCTGTGTGAGTGGATGAGGAGACTGTGGCCGAACAGAACCTGCGGCACAGCAACTCTGAGCAGGTCGCCCAGTGCTGGAGCCTGAGGGAGGCGTGCCAATGTGTTCAGCCGAAACGGCCTCATCTGTCACAGTAACTTCACTCGACGGATACAGCAGGACGGGACATTGTGCAGCAGCGCTCGGCGTATTCCGCTGACCTTGATCCTTCACATTTTGATCCGTTCGGTTCTGTGCAAGCTAATTTAGGGGCGATAAATAGGTTACGTGAAGGGGGTTGTAAATTGCCTTATGTTTTTCTTTGAAGAGAAGCCACATGATTCCTACAGAGCAGGGGTAGAAAAAAACAACTTGTGCGACATCAGGCGATGGTGATTGGAGAGAGCGCGGGCGCATTACTGATTGTCAAACGTGTGGTACTTGTGGAACTGTTATATTTCATTTGGTTTTACGTCTGTCACAATGTTCCTGCTGTGGTGTCTGACCATTTACCTAAACCGACTTTATTTGGATGTCACTAATATAGGAGATGCCGGTGGAACAACTCTTATACGTTTCTGCATGAGATCTCAGCCAAATACTTGGTTTTTCACTTTATCAAGAGTGGTTAGGCCTTTTTAAAACGGCAGAAATATAAATTTAAAGTAAAACAGCTGCGCGTGAAAATGAATACTGATTACTAGAGATTATCGTCAACACATATTCAGTTCAGGTCATGCTCGGTTTGCCTCCAAGTTTTTTAAAAAAAGTTAGAATTACGTTTTATTTGGCTTAAACCAAGGCGACTGAACGAGATTACTTTGAACTGCTTGTGATATTTGGGCGCTTCTTTGCCAAATCAACTACTCCAACTTTGTGGCGTTCTTGGCTGGGCATCTCCGCAGAAGAAAGAAACCAACTGAAGAAGGACCGTCAACAATTTGCAAGGTCTGTGGCTCACAAACTCTCGCTACTCATTGGTCAGCTTAAAAGGAACGCTTCAGTCATTCAATCCTATGAGAAGAGATTAGCTAGTCTGAGGTTCGTCATTCTTATTTTCTTTTGGCATTGAGTTATCAGCTGTGTCTGTTTTTTTGTTTTGGCCCAACAGGCTTCGAAACGTCCATTGCCTTTTTTATTTACTACTAACAATTCACTTGAACTGTGTTTAAATTGTTGTCATTTTAACTTTTTAGGATTTACTATTTCTCTAATGCTAGGTAAAATTTAGCTTATGGTGCTGCCTCCTTTAGGAAAGTCCTTGATTTTTGAAACGTTGCCTGCTGGAAGAGTGTATAATGTGTCTGCTACAATTCTACACTTTTAATATCCTTTATTTGATTTTTAAAAACAAGTCGAGATTCATTTATCACTGAAGAAGACCATGAACTACCATTGCTTCAATTCTCGCAGCCAAACAATTGCACTTTAATTTTAACTTTCTAGATTTATGACTTTCCAATGGTTATATCTTTAAAGTTTAGACGATCCCAACCTTGAATTCTGACACTTTGGGTTTCTTAAAACATATACTAAAGTGACTTATAGTCGGCAGATGGGCACTAAGTCTTTATTACTTCGTGTGAAGGATTATAATTGGAATTTTTTTCGAAAGTTATGATTTAACAGCGACATTTTTTCGCTGTGATTAACCTTGATTTGTCTTTAAAGCGTACTATAAATAAATAACACATTTAATTCCATTGTGTTGCAAGTGGCCTTATTTCAACGCCAACTTTTATTTAAGTAGATAGCGATCAAGTGCGTAACGGGAACTGTATTAAATTGTTATAGTGCCATCGTGTTGGTTTGATCACTCACGTCCGCATTTATTCACTTATTCACGATATTTATAATACTTCTACGGGCATTAGGCGAAAAAAACAACAATTTCTAATTATATGATCAGCACAAAAAGTTTAAAGATTTATTTTTCACTACCCAAAGCCGATAAAATTGGCTAAAATAAACTGAAAATAACCTGCAAACCAGTGAATTGTCCAAATGTAATGCAAATTCCTGTTTTTCGTTACTTTGCAGCAAACAAAACGATTTATGCAATAGATACAAAAGACGATTGGCATTTTCAGAACAACATTAACTAAGACGATTTAAGCAAGCAAAAAGGCATAATTCTTAATAACTGTCTTAGTGAGTAAAGCATGCAGAGGAAAATAAGGAATAGTTGTTAGTGATTTGTGTACAATTTTCCGTAATTAGCATTAAGTGTAAAGCTTGAATGAAGCGAATTTGATTAGCCAAAGTAGTGAGTCAGGAAATTAAGTCGTGATCATAATTTTGACATTTAGGAGAAGATCATTTCATTTGCAAGATTTTGGCAAGCAAGTATTTCGGTTATGGTGCTTCACGTTCTAACTAAAAATATGCAAAAAAATGTTACGATTTTTTTTACAAAGCTGTTTCAGATGCTATACGCTATTTGGCCAGGAATTGCAAGTAGTTTTATAAGTTTCCTTAATCAAAGTGAATTCGCATTCGCCTTCTTATCTTTATTCACCAAACAGCTCGTTGTTTATG